AATGTAACTCATTAAAGACACTGAAGAGTTTCAAAAATGAAACTCTCTGTCAATATGCGTCAAAACATCCCCATGAGTTGAAAAGGTAACGGAAAGAAAAATGTCACACTGGATGAACCGAAGAAAAATGTCATATTAGATGAACAGAAGGGTCGTACTAACTGCTTGTTAACTACTTACCTTTTTTCTCCTCAGCAGGACTTTCTTCTGATGCTTTCCTTTCAAGCACAATTCCTGCATAATCAGTAATAACCTAAAACAGAAGAGTAACTCAGATGGTTTTAAAGATTTTAAGGATATATGCAGCAATCAGCCTACATGGCAGTTTCTGCAGGTATCACAGAAGTGTCAGAAGAAAGGCAGCCTTTGTTTCACTTAGGGTTAGCTCACTAGTATAGGGTTTCATCACCCTATGTCTTTATCCACTATTGTTGGTCTAATCAGCATCTCCTTAGGAAATAAAACAGTAACTTTCATCATAACTAGAAAAGTTTTGTTTTGCTTAAACATTTTTAGCTTCTTTTTATAGCTTTAAGAAGATAGGTAAAGAAAGCAAATCACCACATAAACAGCTAAGTTTTCCACAAATTTTCCGAAGTGCTCCTCCTAGGTTTGCTCATCCTAACACAATGCAAGGAAACTGCACAGTTCGTCTCAGTTTAAAAAAGATAAAACAAAATTCACAGCTACCTACAGTCAGACATTTTACAAAAGCCCTGCTCATACATTATAACTTCAGTAATACCAGCACAATTCAACAGAACAACTTAGTAAGGAAATGAAAATCAAAGACAGACTAGTCAAGACATTCACTTGCCCACAGAGGGCTGTGAGAGGAGAAACACAGAAGTGCAAAGGATTGTTGGTTTGAGATCCGGTGCCATTTGGCATTTTCATTCAAGAATTGTAAAGTAAATATTTAGGTAATAATTACTGTTGCCAAAACAGAGTGTCAAATAAACACACAGCCCTCCGTTTACTAGCTTAAATACAGATTCAGCTATCTAGGAACAAGAAACACCATCACACCAAGAGACCTGAGGAGTGCCTCAGAAAGAAACACAAAACAGTTCTACAACTGAGCAGTGTATTAACAAATCTCATACCCAAATACTGAGTACAGAGAATTACCTGTTTAAATTTTTCAATTAGAAAGAGGTAGAGAAAGAGTCAGCAGAACTGTCTGCAGGCTTGTAATGCTTTACACTGACAAAGAACAAAAAAATCTTATGTAGGAAAAAGATAAAGAAATAAAGTAATATCAGCAAATTAGAATGTTTAGAAGGAGAAAGTCCCATTTTTCAGAGAGAGAGAGAGAGAGAGAGAGAGAGAGAGAGAGAGGTGTGTGTGTGTGTGTGTGTGTGTGTGTTTTTTTAACTCGCCCTTTGCTGGTAGTACAGCAGACCCCCAAATCAGCTTGCAGCTATCCCCTGGCTACTGAGGTTATGGTAGTTGTAGAGAAGAGAAAAAGACCCCAAAACTTTAAATGTGGAACAGCAAACGAGTCTCATCAGCCCCAGCGTTAACTTCAATGCTGATTACTACAGAACTAATTGGAAGCAATCTGATGGGCTCTATTGCTACATAAATATGACTGTATTTAAGAACTACAGGAATATAAACTGTCCATCCTGTGTGGCAGTTGCTGAACACAACAGACAAATGCACGTAGTTCGCCATACCGCCAATGCTTTGTCATACTGCTTGGAGGAAATATACAGTTCAGCTGCTATATTAACATCTTCCATGGAGACAAGGCTCTGATGTTTAGTAAAGGCTTCTTCTATGATCTCAATAGCAGAGGCAGCATCATTGGCTTCATAATAACTCCTATGAAATGCAGACAAGACATACTAAGTTATCTGAGATAACTGACAAGATGTACTTCGATCACAAGCAAAAGGCTTTTTGTATTTCTTTGCTTTTATTTTTGTTAATCGGCAGAGATTGCTCCAAAAGTTATGCCTCCTATTTGTTTCCATGGAAACTACAAAAGAGACAAAGAACACAATAGCACTATTTGATAGAGCAAATTCCCAGTTAGAAAACACTATTTTTCAATGCAGCCATCACCACTAGCACTGCATTTTCATTAGCAACAAATGAGAGCCTGCGTGCCACACTTGTAAAAATCCACATGGCCATTCAGAACGTGGCTCGTCTTTCACACAGCTGTCATCACTGCTAAAATGCATCACCCACTGCCTCACATCACTGTTTGGTCTCCATAAAGGTTCAGCAAGTACTGATGAATGTCAGTGGCTACGATTTTTTCCATGTGGAGAAATTCAGTGTCATATCTTTGCTTCATCCACACTTCCATGTCAGACACTGTTTTGTCAAACTGCTCCTCTGCTGCCATCTCTCACACAACAACATGTAATGGGATATGAGGGGAAGGTTCAGCTTCTACTGCCACACTACCAACATCTGTTTCTAGGCCAAAATCATAAAATAGGAGGCATGACTTTCAGAGCAGACCTCATGTATTCATCAGGGAGTATAAATTACGAAAAACAGTGAGAAAGATGGTAGTTTGTCTTTCCTTTTTTGACAATTTTTTATGTATTTCAAATAATTACCAACAATTCTCTTTATAAGATCCTCTATATGTTAGGAAATAATAGCAGTTTTCGTTACACTCTCTCTCACCTCCAGCCACATATCAACAGTGTATTGCATTAACCTGCTCTGACAGAAAACTCCAACAATCATATTGTTACACTTCTTGCATTTTTTTTTTTTTTAGGTGCATTTCACGACCAAGAAAATCAAGACTTGTCTACTGGCTCTAAAACAGTCCAATGAACATCTTCCTACAAGTTATACATGAAAAAGCTGAGGTTTAAAGTAGTTAGCTTACTAAGAGCTATGAGAGTCACATATTTAACTATTAACCTCCTCTGCCACAGGCTAACTTCTATCACTTGATCTGCACCCATTTGCAGAAAAGAGGAAGGTGCCTACTTACTCCAGCAACAAATCAGAACCCACACATACTATTATGCTGAAGACTGCATTTCACATTGAGTACTTTCTTCCATTTGGAATAAGGCAGTAAGGTCTCTAGTGATATTACACAGATACAAAAATGTATTTGTATACAATTGTATACTATAGGCTTTTTTGTAATTAATATTTTACTCTCCTACTCTAAGAGAGTACAACACTTCTGTGACGATGCACTGACTGTGCAGAAAATAACTCCCACATGTCAGGAGTGAGGGGTACGTGTTTGCATGTTTGTCATCCCCAGCAGATACACCCACGTGCCCTGATTTCAGTTGCATGCCCAACCTGAATCAGCAAAAGAGCTTAGTAATACCAGACTTCGAGAAGCTTTAGGAAACCAAATCATACCTTTTTTGAAATCCAACTTACTTTGCCATGTCTCTAGCCAACTGCATAAACCGCTCTCCATCAGAGGGAGACAAAAGATTCAAAATACGCCTGTAGCCGTCCATAGCCAACTTATGTTCCCCCAGCTGCTCATACAGGCTTGATCTCTCCCATAGATAACGCACGTTGGTTGGGTCATACTTCAAAGCTGTAACAAGGAAAAGCATGCTAGTAGTCAAGCTAAGAAAAAAAAGCAGTAACAGATTTCACATTCATCTACTCCACTGTCAAAGGCCTGGCAAACATCAGCAGTTTCTAACCAGATAACAGCTAACAGAAAAAACAGTATTTACATCCTGAGGGAAACAAACCAGATTGCAAAATATGTACATGCTCCTGGTGAACCAAATTCAACTAAGACTCTTTTTTCTTCTCCAAAATCATAAGGTAACACAACTGACAGAAGGTCAGTGGACACGTTATTACACACAAAAGTTTTCTGTAAGAAAAGGACATCATTCTACATTAAAGATTTATGGATTTTTTACCAGTGTCTGGATAGAGGTACCAGAATCCTAACAGACTGCAACAAACTAAAACAGAAAGCAGAAGAAAATATATGATTGTCATCAGCACCTAACATTTACATTAAAATATTAAAACTACTGCTATATTACCTTTTGCATAGCAAAAAATAGCCTGTTTAATATTGTCCTGTTCCAGCGACATCTCTGCCAATCTGACCCATTCCTCTGTATTGCTAGGATTTAAGTGAGCAGCAATCAGTTCAAACTGTAATGACTTCTCCATATCACCCTGGTCTTCATAGATCATGGCAAGAGTGGAGAAAGGCTCGTGAGCAAGAGGAGCTACAAAAAGACAAAGAGAACAGTTAAGAACTATTGTTTTAAAAACTATGTGAAAACAAGTAACTTGACTTTCTTCAAATTAAAGATATCAAAGCTGTATGAAACATCAACATCACTGTTTCAATTCAGAAAATAAATTTTGCAGACAGGTTTCCAATTCCTTTTCTATAAATCATTAAACAGGTTGACTGAACCTCACAACAACTATTTGCAGTGTTTTTTCTATATCAGAAGTCATGCCAATAGCTCTGTATTTTCCTTTAGTTCTACAAAGACAATAAAAGTAATGTGTATAAAGCCGCAGAATTAGGGTGCTAGTTTCTTCTCAAAAGCAAAACAGTAACAGAAATGCACCGTGTACTCCTAAATTTCACGCTAGTTATGCAATGACATTCCTCATGCTGAGCATTTTCCTCACTGGGGAAATCACAGTGAATTTCCTGATACACATGGTAATTTCATCCCATTTCTGAAACCAAAACCTTCTACCGTTCTAAAATACCTTGTCGAATGATTTCCATGCACATCAGAATAGCCTCCTCGCGTTCTCCTCGAGCAAACCTGATATTGGCTTCTCCCATCAGACCCCTCAATGCACGAGGAAGTTTGCTGCGAGGCCTTTTCTCCTAAATGGAAAAGAAAAACCATTTCTACTGATGATTCACTTATATCCAAATTCAGGAGACCTCAGTTATACTTGTGATTCAAACAACCAAACAACAAATTATTTAAGTGCAAGGGGCATTCAAATGACTGACCAAAATATTTGCTGTTTTTCATAACTGACAAAGTAACTCCGATACCTAACACAAATAAAATCCAGACACTGGAAAAGACTCACTTCATTATTTCTGAAAGTTTTCAAACAGAAACCTACAGTAATTTTCTAGAACGACTGAAAGGACATACCAACATAAGCAGAAGCATCCTACACAGCATTGTTTTCAGGCAGCTAACATGGTGCAAACCAGCATTTATTCATTATACTTCATGAAATACAGAGAAGTTAGGTGAAGGTATAAATACTTGCTTTCATCATTTTCTTGGTCTCTCTGTTAAGCACCATCTCCAACACAAAAACATCTCCAGCTGTGGGTTGCTCGGTAGTTTCTTCCTCTTCTTCTTCCTCTTCCTCTTCATCCTCTTCCTCATCTTCATTTTCCCCAATCATGGACGCAAAGACCCGATGAACAGATTTACTGACGCCATCTGCAGTTTCTCCTGGTTGAGAAAGTAACAGAAAAGGTTTATGACACACTCAAAAGTGTGCTATGTTTTCAGTACAAGCGCACAGAAAACAGAATTCTTCACAATTAGTACCTACTTGAGAGACCTGTTCTATAAGAAAAAGGCCTTCAGAAATGTAGAAGACTTCTATACAACCTCTTATATTTTCAAATACCGTGTTGTTCATCACCAGTGCTTCGTATCCCACAGCTTCTAACATTTTTTGGATATTTGATAAGAAAGCATGGGGGAACACACAGAATGAAGCAACAGTTTATTCAACACTCTTCATAAACCACAGGAGAGAAGCAATTTTCAAGCACAGTACATAGAATAAAGCTTTTCAGCTGAAGAGGCTAAGTGAGCAGACAATTACACCAAACAATAATGCAGTGCTCAATTTTTAGAGGTAATTTAAAGTAAGATCCTTTAACCACTCTATCCATGGCAATGAGTACCTCTTAACCCACGTAAATGCAAAATCCAGATTATTAACATAACTCCAGAAAAATAACGTGAACAAATGCATAAGGCTATATGTCCAAAATAAACATGCTTAAAGCACATAATATTAAAACCTTTCATTACTAACTTAACCCAGGGTCATAACTGCACACAGATCTATTTCCAGGCAAAAAGGACTAAAAGCAATCATTTTCTGTATGCTTCTCTTTCTCTGCTTGCCAACAAAACGTTGAAAGGTTAGAGATGGGGGATTGGGCATCTAAAGATTTGATAAAGGCACATCCATAATACAAAGCCAGAACTGAAAAATAAACCTATTGCCAATGGACTAGAGGGATTTGGGGTACTACACCTGGATTTATACCTTTTACAGCCTTATAAATGTCACAGATTCATAGAACCAGACAATGGCTTAAGTTGAAAAAGACCTCAAGGATCATCAAGTTCCAACCCCCATGCCACAGGCAGCACTGCTCTTACACATTGTTGTTTTTATTCTTATTCAATATATCATTCAATACTCAACAAGAAATATTCAATATTCTTATTGAATATAATGTTGTTTTTATCCTGACTTAGATATTAAGTGTCTAAAAAGCAAGACTATCAAGACTTCTACTCCTCCCCGATCCAGAACAAATAGTTTTTAACTTAATTTCACTTTTATTTCAGCTTTGAATATCAGTGTATCAAAAGCGATTTCAACATTGAACTTATCTAACATTTTTCTTCCATATACTTAAGTTAGAGTTTTCCAGTAACTCTTTACGTAAACAAAAGCGATACATATTAGCAATGCATCCTTGATTCTACAAACTGCTTTTTAGACTTCTGCATTCTCTGTAATAAGAACAGAAGTAACACTATGTAATCAGGATGCATTTTCTCTTTGATAAAGACCACACATATGAAATGACATGTAACAGAGCAGGTGGAATACTGAGCAGAAGACCACAGCTTGTAAGTATTTCAGAGACATCAGTTAAAAGGGGATGGAAGGGAACTGCACATATTTGGTTCCAGCCCCACCTGTAGGATTCTGTTTGTCTTTGCAGGATAAGGTCTGGCCATTCTCTCAAAATCAAGGCAACACTAAGGCACGTTCTGTGTGAGACAATTTAAGGCCTATTCGCCTACTTTTAATATTTAAAGGAGAAGAAAACAAAACCCAACAAATAAATAAACAAACAGAAGAATTATGAGAATTTACACTGAAAGTAAAAAATTAATCATAGAATACTGCGAGTCAGAAAGGACCCATAAGGACCATTGAGCCCCATTCTGTACAAGAACCAACTTGAAGAGATCAAAGACTGCACTCTGCTATCTCACAGCACTGGCAATCCCACGAGATGTGCCCAGCCACTGCATGAAACACATGCTCTAAGTGTGTCTGAAGCAGACTGCAGCACTCTGAGGCCCAAGCTCAAATTCAGAACCTGAGGAGTGGGATAACTAATCAGTGATACATATGAAACAAAGTGCTGCTTCTACCACTTCCTGAGAGTCCTTACATTATGCAGGATTCCCCAAAATATTGGTGTTACTGGGATATAGCTCTACAGAGATTTTACCATTCAGATAGTCAGGAATATCCAGCAGAAAATAAGAAGAGATAAACCTGAGTCCTCTAAGCCAGACAAAGAATAAAAAAATTATTAACAACTTAAACAACAACAATAAAATCTTCTCTTTTGAGCTATTTTATTTTCCTTTAGATGGCAGTGGGGAAGAAAACTCCCACACAGCACAATCAAATATCCCTAAGCCCTTTCATCTCAGCCAACAAGGCCAGCAGAGATGAACACGGAATCACAGAATCACCAAGGTTGGAAAAGACCTACAAGATCATCCAGTCCAACCATCCACCTATCAGCAATAGTTCTTGCTAAACCATATCCCTCAACACAAAATCCGAACGTTCCTTGAACACCTCCAGAGTTGGTGACTCCACCACCTCCCTGGGCAGCCCATTCCAGTGCCTGACCACCCTTTCAGAGAAGTAGTATTTCCTAACATCCAGCATAAATCTCTCCTGGCACAGCTTGAACCACTCCCTCTAGTCCTATCACCAGTTACATGAGAGAAGAGGCCGACCCCCAGCCCACTACAACCTCCCTTCAGGTAGTTATAGAGAGCAATAAGGTCTCCCCTGAGCCTCCTCTTCTCCAGACTGAACAATCCCAGCTCCTTCAGCCGCTCCTCATAAGGTCTGTGCTCCAGACCCCTCACCAGCTTTGCTGCCCTTCTATGAACCCACTCCAGGGCCTCAATACCTTTCTTGCAATGAGGGGCCCAAAACTGGACACAGTACTTGAGCTGCGGCCTCACCAGAGCTGAGTGCAGGGGGAAAAACTCCCATGCAACACAATCAAATATCCCAAAACTCTTTTGCCTCAGCCAAAAAGGCTAGCAGAGATGAGCACAGAAAACCAAAACAAAACACAGGCAGAAGACTTTCTGAGATATGTATTTGTAACTTCAGATGGAGTAAACGACAGAGACCACGTAGTTTCAAAGCCAAGAGGACGTCCCAAAAAGACAAAGACGACCAGACTCAGCCCCTTAAGACCAATGAACAAAGTTAAAGCCTACACGTGTAAAGAAACATCCTACAAAGGCATGCACTCTAACAATGTGCTTCATTACCCACGGGTTCAGCAGAAACAGACAGGTTTACGCAGAAGATTAACTATTAGAGAGCAAGTGCTTTCAGTCACCTTTAGAATACATTTTTGCTGAAACCATCACAGTGATATTTACCGTCTGTTTCATCCTGACTTTGGGACTTTCCAGCCGCCTTTCTGGATGAAGAGGGAGCATCTATGTCGTCGGTGTTCTCCTCAGCAGATGCATTCTCACTGTCCTACGCACACCAACAACATTAGTTACTAGCTTTGCCACGTGCCTCACTCCTGCTTCCTCTGATGTTCGGGATTAGCATACAGACCACGGCTTTCAGCTTTTGCACTGCAAGTAAAACAGGCGTGCTAAGTGCTGTATTCTCAAATAAAGAATTAAACAGAAAGCTCAGCAACACTTGCTTTCGGACATTCGCATTCTAACCAACGAGAGGTGACTCAGGTGGTGACTGCTCACAAGACTGCCGGCTGAAGAGGCCGTCGTTCACGCGGCATTACACTGAAATAAGATGGTAGTGCTCAGTGTATAAGCTAAGGTAAAAAACTAAGGTAAGGTGAGGCGAACTCTTTCGGAAGCCCGCGTTCTTTAAGCACAAGAGACCGCAGCTGCTCTCCTCGTAGCAGTACGAGGCCGCTCTCGGACGGCACTCGTCCCTCGGTTGCTGCGCGTCCCGCCGTGGCCGCACAGCTCTCCTCAGATGCTCCGGCGGCGCGGAACGCAGAGCCCGCGCTCTGACACGAGGCGGGCCGAGCTTCTCCGGGCGCCTCGCTGCGCTCAGGCGGAGCCGCAGGGCCGCCCCACGGGTACCTGCTGCAGCTGGGAAGCCAGCAGCGGCGCACGCCGGATGACGGCCTACCGGCACCCGCCGGCCGGGCCCGGGGCAGCGTCTACACCGCCCGAGGTGCCGCCCCCTCCCAAGCCGGGGCCCCTCGCAGGCCGCCCCGCGACGCAGAGGAGGCCGCGCCGCTCCCGCCCCGCCCGCCCGACCTTCTCGCGGCTCTTGCGCTCCTCCCGCCGCCGCTCGAACTCCTCGAAGGAGATTTTCCCCTCCAGATAATCGATCAGCTCCGGGCTGAACCCCGACATCGCGCCGGGACGGCCGGATGAAGCGCCGGGACGGGACGCGGTGCTCCGGCTATGGCGCCCGCCCCGCCCCGCGCCCGGCGCTCGGGTTCCGCATGCCGCGCTGCGGCCCGGCCCCCTCAGCCCGGGCGTGCGGGGCTCCGCCGCCCCCCGGGAGCCGCGCCGTTCCTCACGCGGCCGGGAGCTCGCGGCGTTCGCGGAGCGCGTCTCCGCAGTGCCAGCGCCGCTTGGGGGGTGCCCGAGGCATCCGTCTCCCCGCAAAGCGGTAAACTGCTGGTGAAATAACATCGAACGCACTCCCCGCCCGTATCTCACGACGCCTCGCTCCGGGAAGCCGAAAGGTCACGTTTATTTGCCTACTTTGAACAAGGCCGGGTGGCATCCCCCGTTTATTCGGAATAAACACGGCCAGCGCTGCCCCCGAGCACCACGCTAACGGCGACGGACAGCGAACGGGAACGGCAGCGAGGCGGCACGCCTCAGGGCAAGAGCTGGGGCACGGGGGACGTTTAAGCTGCGGGGTGGCACGGGAGAAGGCAAGGCAGTAGCACTTTGCTGTGGAGGTGAGCACTTGGCACGAAGTCCGAAAGTTAACACCTGAAAGAGAGGGGAAACAAGGACGTGAGGCACGTAGAGAAGTACTCTGACCACAGCGATGCGTGGCAGCGCCGGCTGAAGGGCCCTGCTTCCAGACACCGCTCCCAAGGCTGGAGGGAAGCGTGGCTGTCCTGAATTACACGGCACCGAGTCCAGCAGTAACTGGAGTACAGCACTGCTGTAGCTCATGTGACAGCATCCCTTCTCACGTCCAGTCCTAACCTGTTTGTCATGCACAGAACTCGTTGTACTGGGCTTTTTTGTGTGCGTGTGTTGGATTTGTTTACTGAGAATAACTTGGTAAAAAAGAGAACTTGGATATAAACCTCTGAATGCCATCTTGACTGTTACTTATAAGAAGAGGAACTTCTTACAAGAACTTATAAGAAGAGCTGTACTTACAGTTAAGGAATAGTTACAGTTAAGCAGACCTAAAAATCCGAAGCTGAACACTGATAACAAATTAATCTCTGTCAAACACTGCACAAATCACCTAAGTCCTTACATTCAAATCTGACTGAGATCTTTACCTATTTATAAAACAGGAGAAAACAATTGTTAACCTTTCTTCAGAACCAGCAGTATTCACTGACTTTCAAAAGGAGCTGAGATCATGTATTTGTTACAGAGTATAGCTGTGCGGAGATAAAGTAGCTCAGAAGTACCTGCTATACATTGAGGCTGCATTTATTAATAATTCAAGTTTGGCCCTCTTCAACTTTATTTCATATTTACGGAGAGGTGTGAATGACCTCACAATTACTTTATTCAACCTTCAATTTTGGTGGTAGAAGTAAAGGACAGATACGAATGCACAGACATACAAATACCATATGCTTTGTCAGTGCAGTATCTTATGTATAAATGCATTTTGATACATGCATGACAGGAAACCAATAGTCTCAATTTATAATTCTACTAATACCAATTAATAGATAAGGTGGGTTTTCTTTAGTATCTGTATATTTTCATCATGCTTCTCCAAATGAAAATAAAAATAAGACACAGGCTACGTAGATCTGCACAAGCAAAATGTGTGCTATTACAGAAGTAGCAAATACCTCACGCGTCTCAACCTCGTCAATTTCAAAACAACTTCAGGCACGAGTTAAGGTGTCACACTTAATTTCATCTGAAGAACAAGTTGTTTTTATATTTCAGATGCAATTGAGAAATGCTTGAAATCCAAGGATTTCACTGGCTTACATGTAGAAGCATCCTCTTACCTTGGTCAGCAGCATCTTTTAGCCTTTGAAGTCATTTGGAAAAGAATTTTTCCTTTCTTCATAATCTGCAAATGCAGAAGCAATGGGATCTGAGTAGAACATGACCGGCCTTGGTCCTTCATTGTTCACAGTGAAAGTAGCTGGGAAATTTCTGAGATCGAGACCCCGACCTGAAAAGTATGCCTGGAGTGTTCTGAAAAACTGAACATATTTCATAAATGAAAATTGAGTACGTCCAACTGATTAATTATTTCTACTGAAACAATCCCCTCCTATATGGAATGAGATCTATTTTGATCATAAACTAGTGTAATATAAGCAATATAATTTGCACATGTGCAATCTGTCCATGGCTTTACGTTTTATGTGCTGTTCCAAGACCACCAACATTTCACTGGTAGTCTGTGCTCCCCACTGAACCACAGAGGATTCAAGCCATAACTTTTATAGATATGGCAGAACTCTTGCTGAGGGCAAACAGTACCTTTTAGAGAAACCTTTAACAGCACAGAATGTTCTCTAAGAGCTAGCAACAGTGCACAGTTGATGTGAATTGACCCTTTAGATTGCTTAAAAGTAGAAAAATTTAGTCAATTCTTTAAACAGTGATGAAAACTGTGGGAAACTGATTTTTCCCCCTCACAAATTCCTTATAAGATCTTGCAAATGTTACCTTAATTATATTTTCTTAGCTGCTAATTAATTTTCAGATCTTCAGCCACTATTCACAAGGATGTGTCAGATGGAAACGTGCCTAAGGTGAAGCGTGTAACCAGCAGTACACTTTCAAGAGAAACATAATAATCACTCTTCTTCATGTTCATAAAAGGAGCAGCAGTATAATCAAACTAAAACTGCTGAAGATGTGAGCAAGTTATGTGCATTACTGCATGCAGAGAATGCATCTTCAGTTAAGGGTACGTGTGCACTGGAGAATGCTCAGCTACTTGTACTTACTATGTCAAGTGCATAGTTACTAAACCCTCTTGCCATTAAATTTAATGGGCAAAAATTATTGTGATGGAAAATGAAAACAGAAAAAACAACAACACAAAACTTAGACTGTGTTTCTTGCAGCATTTCCTTACCAAGTCTCTGTTTCTAGGATTATCTAGAGGTTTCCATTTTTCTTCTGGTTCGAAAGGAGCACCCTTTGCCAATCCTCTGACAGCCAACATTGTATATAGTCCCAGGAGCACCAGTTTCCACATGTCGAAGAGATGAACAGACTATCTGCAAGAAGGACAAAGAACCAGCCCTACAGAACTGTCACCACCAACAAATAAAGCAATCCAGAGGAGTTCTGGAAATAACTCATCCATGGCAAGAAAAATCTGCTTACTACAGATTAAATCTGTGTGCCATGAACTTTTTAGGTTCTGTACTAATGTACTAGGAAGTAAATAAGCGTTTCCCATATCAAAGTTATTTCTAGATACTGGTTTCTTCCTGAAAGGGACCAGTTTGACGCTTAAGAGAGGATATTTGCATCTGTAAATTTACATTTGTAATTACATTACAACTATTTTCACTGGCCGAATAGTTAAAGCATCCAGTCTACAGGCTCCAAGGATCATGCAAAACTGTGGCCTGAGATCCAGATAACTCAATTTTTAAAACTGCACAAAAGGAGAACGTACTACATATATTAATAAAAGTAATAATAGTACAGTCTGGCATAAGATACTGAAGAACAGTTTCACACCTTCAGTCAAGAAAAAAAAAGATAATCACATTCTACCTTTCACTCTCTTTAAAATAAAGCTTACCAGTGAATTTTGCTCTGGCTTGCCCCTTCTTGCTTAGTCTCCTTATGATCTGTGAATGAACTGATCTCTGCACTTATATTTCTAGTGGACTGTAGGTGGGTGTCAATGACGTTAGCAGAAGTTCAAAAATACAGTAATGATTCCATTTCCATCCATGACATAAAGACCCTTGAGAATTTCATCCTTTATACTCTTAAGACCTGTTGCTATTGAACAGTGCAGTGCAAATTCCTCCTCCTAAGGCTGTATTGCAGAAAATTGGCGGTAAGCACAGAGGAAGTTTAAAACTATTTCCATCAGAGATAGCAGAGCTGTATCAAAATACTGGTTTTAATTAAAAATAATTTATGATATCTTCCGAAAGGTGACAAATAATTACAGCTGGTAGAATGGTTTTCAAGCAAGATGAGATATAGATCATTTTCTTGATGCTGAAGAGAGAGAAAAGCAGAGACTGTTTCCAAATTCATAATATTTTAATGAAAGTGTTGCTTTCCTACCCTGATTTTATCGGCAGTCAATATCCTCCGGTGATACTGCAAGCTAAGACAAAGCCTGCAAAAACAACTATACTAATTTGTTTTGGCCTTATTTTGTAGCATCCTGTAGCTGTTCAATTTTTTTTTTTTTTTTGCCTATGCATTCATTCCACACTTCTCTCTCCTATGTAAGTGATATTTTGGTTAGTATAATAAGATGGATCTCTAAACGTATATTTTAAAACTAACAGTTTTTATTAAAATAAATCTTTATCCTACCCTTAATTTCACAGGGGTAAAAAATTCCCAACAGTATTAATTTCATCATTGCATAACCTATACAAGTATAATTTGTACTGTTCAACTTGTATATTATTCTAAACCTTATTCTAATGGTTGAAATAAAAAAAATCTCTGAAAAACAGTAATATAAAAAAAATAAATTCATCAAACTCAATCAGTTACTGCTGTCAAAATGAAACTTCCTGATAATAGACTCATCAATGGTTCATAGACTCATCAGTGCCAAAATAGCACTAGCAAGAGAAAAACCAGTAAAGAAACTTTCTTATTTCCTATTTTTTCAGGTAGTCACTACGTTCCAGTTAAATTTTGTTAGACAAAAACATGAGTGTTTTCACCTGCTTGATAACAACATGGGATGCAAGTTATTTTTCTGCCCAAGCTTCAAGACTGTGAGGACAGTTAGTGAGTTACTGAAAGCACATTTTGCATCATTTCTCCTGCAAAACACACACCTCGACCAGTCCTTTCTTGTTGGAAAAAAACTCTCTCTTCATCATGTCAAACTTGAGATACCTTCACATTTGCATACCCCAAAGTAGTCCCAAAATTAGTTCCAAAGTAGTTCCAAAGCCAAAACTGAAAGAGCAGAGAAAGAGCAGCAGTTTGCATAATGTTCCAATACTAGAACACTCTTATTTTGACATTTTCATCTAAAATCAGGGTAAAGTAGTATAATATATCTCTTTACTTGAAAAACAGGCTTTGGTTGGTATATTTGTTTTGGGAACCATTTCTAGCTTACTCAAGTCTACATATTTAACAACCATCATGCCATGATCCTCTGCATCTCAACTCCCTGCCTATAAAATGAGGACTTCCCAGTGAAATAACATCTATAGGCAGGTTTTATCCTTCTCATCAGATATTCACAATTGTGTGTAGCTCAGAATTTAGCACTAATATCCCACAGCAGTCTTCTGATTTCCTTAGCTTTGTGTAAAAGCTGCTGCTGCTACAGTTATTTAAGCCCAGCTGCTTTTATTGGTTTTATTTGATTGATTTTATAAATAAAATACATCATCTTTTGGGAATATTTTGGGTTTTTCAAATTAAGTACCCTTAGTCTTCTAAGTTCAAGATATCAAATGAAAAGTTTAAAACACAGAGTTCTCTCATTTCCCAATCCACCTGCCTCTAAGATCAATTCTGAAGAATCTTAAGAACAAGCTACCTCTCAAATTCTGAAGGAAAGAACTAATTTTTATACTATTTAAAAAAAGAGAGAAACTGCATAATCAGACACAAGGAGAATTAATCCTTTTTCTTACTGACAGAAGAGCAGACGTAAAATACAATTATGAAGGGAAATAGCAGGTCTGGATTTAACAACAATAAAGCAATTTTTGATGTTCTAATGAACAGTTTAAAAAAAATACACGACAAAGTCCTAATTTCTTTCCAACATACAGTTCAGTTACTCAGCAGCCACTTTAAAGCCACTGGCTTTAACTGGGACACCTTAAGGTAGAACATCTAATTACTTATGATCAAGAGAACTTAAAATAGTTGTTTGGGATTCTCTTTTCTTTCTCTCTCCCAGATAGGAATCTGAATGATCCTCCATCCATAAAACTTGCTTATGTTGAGGAATATTTCTTAATCTTCTTCATCATGACTTCAATTGCTTTCTGTCAGCCAGAAACTTGGGTCAGAATTTTATTTCTGGTGTTTCCTGAATAAATTAAAAAATTGAGATATACTGAAACATCAGCTGATATCATTTCACCAAAGTGATATTAACTTAAGAAAATACAAAAATCTTCAGTCTTGATTCCTCTTACACTCAGTGTATAATCAGTTGGTTAATGCACATTTGAGCCCTGTGTATATGCACAATCAATATCTTTAAAGTTAAGAGGTGGCTTATTTTAAGGCAAGAAACTTACAGCTAAATTTGAAATTCCACCTAAATTTAGTCACAAGCAAGACATTTTCCGCTTGAACTCTTTGATGGTACTCACTGTTAAGGTCAACAGGTCTTTGATCAGCTCTTTTCATTTAGTTACCATCAAGTAAGCACAGGTGTATACACACAGCTTTACTTTCCTCTACTCTTCCCTTGGTAAATGCACGTCCAGTGCCCCATCTTCATTAGTCAGAGCCCAGTAACACTTCAGGTGGCAGGCTGTCAGCACACAGCAGTGGTAAACAAAGCACAGATGATTCAGTTCTGTTGCCTAAAAAAACAGATCTTCCTAGCCCGAATCCCATCCACCAAGTTTATTTTAGAGCTATTTGTCTTAGAACTGTTTCTTCTCCACAACAGTTCATAACACTTGGCTATCCACATCATTTTGTTCCTTAATCATTTCACCAGTTTGAACATCTTGTGGAACTGATTTACTGTTTTGTAAATCAGCGTTTCGATACCAGCTATTTACCTCTTGTTTCTACTACATTGTCTTCTTTATAAATACTAATATTCTTCCCCTGGGACCTCCTATCTTAGTTCTGACATCTCTGCTTCACACCATGACCACTGTAATAGCAGACATCTGTCAGTGCTGTTGGAGCAAAGTTTTAGCAGGCTGTTACAATTTGGTGTTAGACAGAATAGCCATAAAACACATTGGTTGGTGCTGTTTGCTCAAACCCTTCCAAACCTCTGGTGGTGATGTGATCACCTCTCTTCACAATCCTCCTTTCGCTCTCCAGGAGTGTTCACAAACTTGTGAAATCAAGAAGAAGTGGTATTTTTCCTCTAGAGGATAGAGGAATAGACAGTAAGGGAAAGAAAAAAAAAAAAAAAAAAGCTTGGTTTGCAGTTTGGGCTTACATTTCAGTTCTTTATTTAACTTAAATAAACAAATACCAAAAAGCCAGAACAGCAGCAGTTTTATTCCAGCCATTACTTTATTTTTACTTTAATTTTTTTGTTCATTTGATTTGCTCCAAAAGAAAGCTGTGGGGGCTATGCAGTATATTCAACCAGTAAACAATGTCGACGACATCTGTAAATTTGCAACAAGTGTTATTGCTTTAGGACTGTTATGGTATCCCTTAACAGAATTCAAACAGATTGACTGATGAAGCATGTGGATAATGAACAAAGTCAATTAGAATGTATTTTCTGTAAGTTGTCTTAAAAAAACCCCAAAACTCTATAAACTTGTATTATTACTTTCTAAGCTAAAAGCATTTACACTAAAAATTATTCGACTTAAGACTGTTAAAACTTACTGCCATTTTTTTCTTTGCCAATATGTTACAGTTCTTCCAAAGTCATACATTAGTATACAATCATATTAATACACTATTAGGACACTTACACAAATTGGACTACGTTGATTCCTCCTTGGAGAACAGTACCTCGTTGAAGAAGTGCTTTCTAAGGCAGATGTCAGCATCCTGCATTTTTGAATGTGATCAAATTTAAGCACTGGGTTTTTCTCAAATTGCCTATGTAGAAGCACATCTTCAGTAAATCAAATCCTTAGAAAGTTGCTGTAGTAATGACAGTCACTGTGGCATGGTAATACTTGAGTATGTATGAATTACTGTCTACACTCACTGCATTGCACATTCAGTCTTGTGCAAGTTCTCTCAAAACAGTAAAAGTCTTGTTCTAGAATGAGAGGCAAACTTAAATCTGATTAGTTATAGAACAAGTTTCATACACATGATGCTGTATATAAACTACATTATTCGACAAATATTTTTCCATTCTATTATATTTCCCATTCAAGGTAGCAAGACAGATGTAAAAGCGTAAGATGCACAAGGTTAAGATATTGAGATAGGCTTCATCAAGTGTGATCTTTACTGCATTCTGCTTAAGATGCAAAAAAAGGGAATCAATTATGGAAAGTAATGCTCTAACCACAATATTTTTGTTCACTGATTTTATTTTCTGCTTAGAGTCCCGATTATTACAAGTTAGAAGGTAAAGCACCGAACTGCTCCACATCAGTACCTGAGCAAAGACTAAAGGCAAATGTTCATCACAACACTCATTAGTGTGTTTGTACAACAAATGTACAGGTAACATTCACAACACTCCACAGAGCATGATTGGTAAGTGGCACTTTTTGTGAATTACCACCATTTGTACTAATGCAACCATGTTAAAACACCGTACAAAAATATACAGAAGTGTTTATTTAGCAAAGCTTATTCTATACAGTGTACTTTTGTATCATGCACACTAATGTAAAAAAACCAAACCAAAACACATTAAAACAATATGAATTGTACACAACAGACATGGAAACCATCAAAACATGAAAGTCCCAGTGTAGCTCTCATTCAAGTTGCCTTTAATGAAAAAGGACCAGTATTTAAAAGTATAGTTTTGAATGACTCACATGAACAGCTTTCACTAATTTAAACATTAGCTGAAGATAGCTATTTTCCAAGAATTTTTCAGCATCTCACAAGACACAGACTTGGCTCTAGCTTATCACACAAAGCAGATGTATCTGAGAATTCTGTTATAACTCTTTTAATAAGCACAATAATTTATTATAGTGTTATTTAAACATTTATTGATAAGACCATGTTAACAACTATAGACATCTGTAACTGTTAGAGTTAGCTCTGCTTTAAATACTAGGTTTACACGAGCTATATAAGAACTCAAAACAAGAAGAAGAAAAAAAAAGTTAGGTTGCTTAGTAACTGATAAGATTTCTCAAAAAAACTAGCACTTCTCAATGCTTTAAGCTTGCTTAACAAAAACAACCATCAATTGCCAGCTGGTTGCCCATCACCCAAAATAAGTATTCTGTCCAACATTATTCTGTCTTTGTGCTTGGAAAAAAACAATTAAAGGGCAACAAAGGAATTAAGTTACTAGGTTTGCACATTTTTTCTAGATTCATCATCATACATAAATGCCTTAAAAGTAGCTTGGCCCTCTCAATGATTTTCACATTAGTATTCCTGTGGCCAGGAAGTCAACCATTACTAGGATTGCTGAAACAACACCAGCACAGAACAAAGAAGAGACACATAGGTGACTGGAAAAAGTTCTAACAGTCCTGAACTCATAGCCTACAAGGAATCAGTAGGGCTGACAAAAAATAAAAATAAAAAAATAAAAAAATCATGTTTTCTGTTATTCCACAATGAAAACAACATTGTGGCAGCCAGATTCATTCCATATCTCAATAAAAGAAAGTTATAAACTGATTTGTACTGCTATTAATTACTGTGATGAGCTGACATGAAATCATTTTGTGTGCACATCTCAATGTCCACAGCCCACTGATAGTCTCCCAGATATGACACCTTTATTCAAGAACTGGTTTTACTTAGTACTATTGCTGGGAAAAAAAAAAGAATTTGGGGATTTTGTTCAAAATATACCAACAATCATTTGGAAGTGGCTTTTCCTCAGTTCTTCACACTAAACAGTAAGAATTTCATTTTATTTTTTACTACATCAAAGCAGGATTTTTAAAGCTTGAATATTTCTTTCTGATGATTTAAGAGCAGAACTTTTTTTTCAAACATACACATTTTTCCGAAAACATGAAATTCCTTATTCAAATGTCTGAAAGCTTGCAAACGAATGCATCTCTGCCTCTCAACTCTACCCAAACCACTTCAACTAGATGTTGATACTTAATGGCTAAAATAAAGTATTTTGCTTGAGCTATAATTTTGAAGAAAATAAACTAAATTTGAAAAATTCTGACACAAAGATTTAGAAGATGAGACACATCTGACACTAATTTTTCTTCCTGAATTTTCTTTGCCATTATAGAAAGAAATGAGAAATTAAGGTCAGCTAAGGTTTCCTGTCTTTGGGTGGTGTGATTCCAAACCTTAAGTACATTGCACTCCTCATTAATCTTAATGCCTGTAAATGTAGTTAAAAAAAAAAGTAAAAAATGATTTTCCCCAAACCAATTATCAGAATGATTCACACAACTACCTTTGATTTCAAAAAAGAAAAGTAAGGCTACACAAGTCCACAGGCTACAGTTAGTGTGTATTCATTTACTGGTTTAAGGCACACAGTTGTGGGTTTTGTTGGTTTGTGATGGTGGTGGTGTTTTGGTGGTTTTTTTGTTTGTTTGTTTGTTTTTTGCTTTAGAAAGATACAAGTTTCAAGTCACAGTGAGGAATTCCATATTTCAGTTTTGGTCTGGCACTCATTATGTATCTCATGTCTACTTTTGCAGACTTCTGTAAAAGATTTCAGTTGTCAGGTACTGGTCTCTAATACTGTTTTCAAACTTAGAGTGACATGAATGGAAAATAGAGAAGCCTGAGTTGATCCCAGAATACAGCTTTTAACATTTAAAAAAGATACACATCTGAACATTTAATATAAGCCTTGAAGTAATTTAAGAATTTGGAGGAAAACCAAGTCTTCACTGGTACTTCAATGCGCATGAAAAACTTCAATAAAGCAACGGCCTACAGGACAGATGCTGTGTATCTTCACTACATCATCTGCAGTGCCTACTGTTACTGCAAACCTCTAGTTTTGTGCTATAGCAGAAGGATAGAGCAAATCAAGGATAACTCTATATGGAAGGAGCAATTGGAATAATGTACTGCGAAGTAACAAGCTTTTGTGTACCATTCCCAAACTTCAGAGAGACAAAATTAACTCTGATACTACACATTTCCAAGAGAACTTAGACCACAACCCACCAAGAACCGCAGAGAAATCATGCTTAAAAGATCTTTTATGAGAGACTGACTTGCAAAACTTGCATGCATATAAGAACATAGAATGAGACCCTAAATCTTACACCAACTTGCAGTTTAAATGTCACAGCTTTGACTCTGCTTTCTAGGCTGTAATGCCAGGAGCACATATTTGAAGCAGTTCCATGCTTAGACGTAACTAACGAATTGAAGTTGTGGGCAGATTTCAGTAAAAGTCATAGAATTTTCTAAACACTTACATTTATTTAAAAAAATGTAATGTTTATTGATAAGATTAAATGTATACTTATTATTTTATCTTTAAATGTCCCAATTAGAAGTTTTGAATGCATTCTTCCATAAATAAAAAAATATATATTTGTAATAGGTTTGTCAAATAAACTTTAAGAGACTTCAAGTATTTTACTACGAATACTAGCTTATAGCTTTAGCTCTAGGAAAAGGTAGAAAAACTATTTTACTTAAACATCAAAAACGTATCTGCTTTTCAACTGTCACTCATTGGTACACTTTTCCAGAGGTATGAAAGAGCAGCACATAGCTTTGGTGACAGAAACAACAGCTCCCCTAAAGGTATGGTGATGGAAGATTTAAAACCACTTACGGTGCAGTGCTAAGTGCTTATAAAGGCTAGTTTGATTATGTCCCCCCAAAAAGCAGATGTAAAGAGCCAAACCTAAAAATTAAGCAATTAACATTCACCATGATATGTAAAAAGCATTGACTTCAGTCTCTTTTGCAACTAACAGTTTTCTACTCGCTTGGTGACTTGAAAGTGCAGCACAATTACTGTACACACACCATAACTGCCTCCAAAACCATTTTCAGTAACTCAGGGCATTAAAGGTCTATAAATGGCTGCACTTTTTCTCAGTATTAACAAACAAAACTTTTTCCTTATCAGCACACTCATCAATGCATTGAACTGAACTTCATCACCTTGATCAAAAAGGCTTCTCAAATATTAATTTTATGCACAGGCAACAAATCAGCTTTGTTCATCCTGTCAAGATCTGAAGGAGATAAATCAGATTTTAGGGGAAAAAAAAGCTAAGTGGCAGGCTTACAACCTTGTTACTGGCAAACAGATGGAAAATTAGACTTCATATCAAATACCAACCTATAAAATAATGCTTTTCGTTGCCTCTTGTTTGTTTACTTTAAGTATCAAGGTTTTTTTTGTTTTTTTTTTTTAAGAATGACTTTAAGGGTGGCCCAGGTAGTTAAAAAGCTCTCTTTGGCATACAGGTAGTCCCCATTCTTTCTGCAATACTTGTCAGATTTGCTGATTTCATTTTAACTTTGCAAATGAATATTTTGGAATAAATTGCTATATGTATCAGCTCAAAAAAAGAAACCACCAGAGCAGAACTTCAAGTATTAGAAATAAAATTAAATGGCATTTCATTTATTGTGTGGTTGGTTTTTTTCCTTAGGTAACAAAAAAATGACAAATCTCCTTTTCAGATGATGCAAAAATGTGACATACTGCAACCAGCTTTGAATCAATTCTGAAAATATCAACATTTGTAGTTCCAGTTAAGAAATAACACCTTTTCTCCTTACCTTACAAATACAAATGTTTTATGAACTGATAGCTATAGGTATCTGCAGCATAATAAGAAAGAAAGATTCTGCTTCATTTAGTGACATTTGGTACTCTATGTTGTCTCTTTTTTTTTTTTTTTTTTGTAAATCCCTTTCTAAAGGCTTATAAAAACATAAGGGAGGCACAGATTCTTATTTTGATTGTCTCCTGACATATGAGCCAAAAAGTCTTTGTTTTACATGGCATGATTGCATGTAAATGAGGCAAACATCCACAGTGGTTCTGCAAAATTAGTACCTCAACTTCTAAAAAGGAACAGAACAACAAACTTGGAGTGGGAGTTAGCAGAAATGCTCCTTTACAGCATAGAGTTTTAAATCATCATGAAGTAGCTTGTCTTGATCTTCTCCAGTAAGTCCAGATATGAAGAGTAAACTTTTTGAAGAGTAAACTGGAATTCTGATTTTAAAGGTATTAAGAGAATGTATTTCCCAAAAGCTGTTTTATAAATGCCCACTCATACAGAAGGATGTTCTGGTAATATTTATACTTTGTCATACAGCCAATTAAAAATGTGGGTTAGCCCACACTTCTGCCAGGACTGTAATGATAGAAGTGGCTGAACTAGAAATCTGTAGAACAGAAGCCTTTTCTCCAAAAGTACAATCACACTATTTATCTGAAAAACTACTTTGGAAACCTATAAAATCTTTCTTTAGAATTGGATGAACTGCCCTCTGGATTTGTCCTGATCCCCTTTACTGATTATGCAGGGAACCTAGTTGAGAGTAGAACCCTCATCTCTCAAACGGCAGTTAGACAGTCCTCAGTCACTGCAAAACCTCAGTGCACATCTCTGAGAGCACGTTTTTCATCTAGCAATGATACACAAAGCATACAAAATCCGAATTTGCAATAAGACTACTTCTTCCCCCTGTGAAAGTAAATAACCTTTGGAAAAGGAAGCAACAACAGAAGCGTGAGAAAAGTCTGTCACCTGAGATCTCAGACTAAGGATTCTATCTTTCCATTCCCACCTACGCCTTCAAAACCACATCAGAAGCACTACGTAACATTTTGTAACCCATTTCATGAGGAATGATAGCAACATCAACAAAATTCCCAGCTTACAAAAATACCACTAAATAAGAAAAATGGTGTTACTCTACGCTGTTGTGATTTGGTATGTTTCATGCACTGTCAGAGTTTGGAACTTACCAAAGTTACTACATCTTGAGACTGTTTGCTTTCCTTATTCTGATTATTTCACCAACAGCTCCAACAAATGGGTTCATGCATGAAGAAGTGATAAAGGTGGCAACCCAAAATAGGAAGCAAAATACAGTAATTGGCCAAAGGGACCATGAAGACCAAAGAAATGATCTTCCACAGAAATCAGACCTTTGCACATTTCACAGATGGCCTTTTACCAGCCCCACTGCAGTTCTGTCACTATCCATCACATTAACAGCCACATGAAAGTAGGAAAACTACTCTATTCTTCTGTGCCTGAAAAGTAACCTTTAGGCTAAATCAAGCTACAAGTATATATGGACACAAATTATCTTATATACATATACTGTAGCATACATTTGGTTAGACAGTACCAGGATACAATACAGTTAACTTCTCTGATTTACAAACACTATGCATGATCTAATCTTGTTAACAAGAGTTTAAGACTTAAAGATCAGCAGGTAGGTTACTGACAGCGATAACAGTGGTTTGGTTAACTACTAATAAAAGCAGTTCTAATGACTAAGTGATAGCTTGAATAGCTGACTTGTTTATAAGACAGAATAGGTTCATTTTCAAAAGTCACTGTGTGAATTAATAAGTCTTTTCAGGCAGCTCAGATGAATTAACTCTTAAGAACAAGCTAGAACTAACTGAGGCACTTCAGGCAAGAATAACAAGATAAAACCAATGGGTCAGGCTCTACCACTATATTAAGAATACACTCCATTGACAGTAGGTAGCAGATTTCCTATTATTATCCATATTAGGTAATCAAGATGGTACAGTAATTCCATATGAAGATGACAAGTATCTCAGATAGTGGAGACAGCTAACAAAGAAGCAAGTAGTAGCACTCATCTCTACATGGAATCAATACCTCATTTTAAATAACATAATGGTTAGTGTGATTTCTTCTGTTGGCAAAACATATGCCAGGAGACAGAATTTCTTACACACAGCTATTCTAGGCATTGTTGTAAATGGCAGTCACTGTAGCATCTAGGCACTAAGATAATTCTTTATGTAGAGCTGCTAATTACAGACAGCTTTTCGTACTACCTAAGAGCTCATCCACAGAAGGAAGTTAGCACAGTATGGCAAGGCATGGATTTACACTGTTGTAGCTATTTTGTATTAAATTACTGTATGGACATTTACTATGAGATGATGACTCTCCATTTACAATAGGAAAGAACCTTGCCTTGGCTATCTGGAAACTGCAGTATAGCAACTGTAGTGTCAACTCACATCATACCTTAAAATTTGCTACCTCCTACATATGGACGAGGTCTAAGGAGTCATTTCTGAATTAAAGTTCCAGACAAAATTGGCAATGTTTTAAAACAACATTACAGCCAGTTATTTATGAATCTGCTGGTAAGCTTCCGGAATAGAAAGCCACACAAAGTGTCATTGTTTTCTCACACTCACAAAATGAATATGTTTAAAACTTTCAATAATCTCTCACTCATCTAACAGTAAATGAACAAGTACTATGCTAGAAATAACAGCTCTATAGAAGCAGTACATTCTGGTTTGACTAGATATAAGTGTGACAGCTTTTAAATGTAGCATAAAATGATTGAAAGTATACTTGGCTGTGTAGTATTTCTGATAGTCACAGTGTGCTTGAAGTTTATTGAGTCTAACCAGCATACTTCTGACCTGCAAGAGAAGCAAGTTCAGAACATACGCACTGTACAGTGTACTGAGTATAAAAAAGTATTTCAACAAAGAAATACAGTGAAATATCCAAGTGTCTGCAAGGCAAACGGAGTGTTGAGATGTAACATTAATACAACTCATGTGCTTACACACGCACAGGTAATTCACTTAATTGTCACAGTCAGGAAATGAACACCATGAACAACTTTCTAAGCAGCATGAACAGAACCAAAAACTTCTCATAAAGTAATTACATTTCAGCTATCTTTCCCAAATAACACAAGTTATGTTAGTCTAGGCATTCCTTTGTTGAATTTGTCCCGTCTCCATTGTTACTTTCTAGGCTGCACTGTTCTTATGTAAAAGAAATGTTACACAATACAACACAGCACATGTAGAAGAAGAGAAAAAGTTACAAAATGTGGTACTTTGTATAAATGCATTCGTCCGAAAGCCAACACTGCAACAGACAAAAGGAGTGGAACTTTGGCCGCGATCTTCAGGAGTTTACTGTAAGAACATAAAGAAAAAATTGCCATTTTTGTGGCCATATGTGCAGGAGTCTAAATACCATATTCCATTTTCTTCAGAAAATGAATGCATAGGTTTCAAGGATTTGCCATTTTTAAAATAGAAAAAAACAAAACAAAAACAAAACAGGTTCAGTGGGAAATAATTGATATATAAGCAAGAGAAATTATGCAAAAAGGCTAATAACACTATTATTATGTAAATTTAGAAATAAATTCTCAGTAACAGAAAGATGTATTGTTTTACATCATTTGAGTTAACAAGTACTGGTCAAGAAGATAAACTACACTGTTTACTATTAAGTATTCTGAAGTCTAGATAGAGAATATCCACTGCTCCCCTTTCATCCATCAGGTTTACGATTTCATGTTGGTCAGGCATGACTTCATCTTGGTGAAACCATGCTAACTACTCCTGATTATTTTCTGCTCTTTCATGTGCTTGGAAATGATTACTGGGATTAGCTGCGGTGAAAATTTAACACTTGTAAAAAACTTGCAGCAATTTTGGGGTCTGAAAATACAATCACTATCATAATAAAGAAATACAGCCCCCTCATGGAGAGTGATGGTATAAAAGTCGCATGCTCTTCAGCTGGAATTTCATTTCTTTCAGTTCACCTATACATTTAAGACCTGAGCTGAGATGGTTATATTTTGCTATTACATGCTGCAGCATGCCCATTGATGTTTCTGTGGAGATATGAATCTGTGAGGCAATTTCATGCCTCACATTTTTCAAGGGACAACGTCTAATTTTATGTCAGAGGAAGAACTGCACAACCAAGTGCTCCAAACAAAGCACAGTGTGGGCACATTTAAAAAAACCCTCCCATAAGGGAATGTTACGTGTACATAACTATAACGGCTTGGAATCCACTTATCCTTTTATTTTCTATATAATAATTTTTGAGATACAGTAGGATTCTGTAATATTTAGAAGGAGTAAATGAATAGTGAATGAAAAAAATCACAGTTAAAACAAGTCTTTGTGCAACTGATATTTTAGATATTAAATACTTTACTTAAGTCCCCATGGTAAATAGAGGTGATTTTTCTCCACTTACCTGAACTACAGTCATTTGCATACATCCTACCTAGTTCTTAAGACTTAAAACATGCGAGTTTATTTATCTCTGTGAAGGTTAAATAATTACATAACTGTGAAGTGCAAATGAAGTTTTAACACAAAAACTAATGTGATAAGAAATAAATAGTAAAACAACTGGGGATTGGGCTACAGTACCTTGATTTCACTTCAGAAGTACTCGAATTCATGAGAATTTCTAAAATGCATACAAGTATAATAGCTGTAGTTCTACATGGATCAGGGTCAAGTCTAACACTGTACCTGCAAAAGAGTGAATTAGTTTTAAGAGTATGTCTAGACTAGGCCACTAGATAAAATCCAATTTGAAAGCAAGGATGTGCTAACAACAACGAACATAAAATGAATAAGGCCATCCCCAGCTGAATTTAAATAATTTCTGAATCGTTACTTTCTTCAACCCATCATTGGTTCTCTTAACATCTACTTATATCATAACTAAAGCCAGATTGCATAGAAAGAGTGTTTCAACTTAATGGGAAGTCTTTGATGCTATAATAAGGTAAACAATCTGAAGAATCAAACATTTGCAATTGTAAGCATCATCAAAGGTTTGGATTCTTTTCTTCTACCCTTACTGACAATTTAAAGAAGTTACCTGAGATTTTTTAACCAATAAACTAAAGATGGCAAGTTGAGCAGAACAATCCATGTGAATAAATTGAACACTGTAACATGGATCTTAAAACTGTTAGCAGCTTCAGCAGTTGTACTGCTTGAAAGAGACTGTGTTGCTTCTGAAGTACTGTCTATCAAATTCTGGTTTTTGGCTGTGCATCGAATGGAATTCTGTGAAGTTTCTTTTGAGCGCTCCACTTCCTGAAAAAAAAAAAAGAAAGCAAGAGCATGCACTGGCTTGATAGAACCCATACAAAGGGACAAAGAGGGAAAAGCTATCCCTACAGTAGCATATGAACTCTGATTCAGGGAGAAAATCTGCAATTTATCCCTCAAAAAGCCATCAAAAGCAAGTTCAATAGTTCCACTTTAAAGCATCTAGCAATTTCTCTTACACTAATAGTTTGTGTCTTTGGAAGAAAAGAATAGAGAGACATCTATAGGAGAGCAGAGATATCCTGACACCACTGCAGTGATAAGAAATGGAGTTCCTGGAAGGAGGAAGAACAGAATAAAAGAAATAATAAAGCATGTGGGTGAAAATTACAGGTGATCATTCATGGAAGAAATATACAGGAGGTAACGTAACTGGGAGTAAAACAGTAGCTCTAAGAATAAATAATAAAGATGAATTAGTAAGCTGGCAGATGCTACATTCCAATGACTGAAAAAACTACAAGATAAAAAAGATTATTTGGATATGGAAGAAGAGCAGTAGAGAACTAAACATAAGGAAGACCCAAAAATTCCAAAGAAATTTGTCTAAACTTTTCCTTGCAGACTGCTTTTTTAACTGCAAAACAGAACAGGTAGATATTATACACAAGTATCCACACACACTTTGGATACTATACATTGAAGTAACTGAAAAAGGATCAGAAATCAAAATGCATGAAAACCAGCAATATTTTGCTTCTTCTCTCCTTCCTAAATAGTTCCCAATTTACTGGAATCTTCAGACAAGTTCACTGCAGTGATCTTGAACCGTGACTGCAATAATCATATATGACAGAAGGTGACACTTGTGTCCTGTATTTCATCATGCACACACTAAGCAAACTGCAGCCACTCAGTTATCACAGCACAAGCTAATAGTGCCAGGGCGAGACGACAACAATTCATAATGCACGGGTTTGCCAAACAGTCTTTGGTCATACAATTTTGAACAGAAACAGTAAACACACTCACCCTATTCAGCTCGTTTTGCTCTGCTCTTACATTCACACTTAGTTTTATAACCTGTAAGACAGATTCACTTTTTCAGTAAAGTTGCTTCACATGAAATCTGTAGCATACAAGAAAAAATAAAGGAGCTAATTATTAATTGACTTTTTTTGTTCGTTTGTTTTTAATATCTAGGGCCTCAATGGAGATCTCTCAGGTTCAAAGACCACAGAGAAATCCTGTTGCTCATGCTGTGCTTTCTGCTGCCACCTACCTACCTCAGACCACCTACAGGCTGCTTCCTTTTGCACCCTTAACTTCCAGTCTTGTGCTCCCAAGGCTTCCCTAGAAACTAACGATAGCAGCTGTTTTAGCAACTCTATAGCCGTAGGGTGAATCAGATACCTAAGTTAGATACTCTGATGCATGGAAGACCATGGAAACTGAATGGCAGGGACTAAATATGGATTCTCACGGCACCATTCAAGGGATCAGATTAGACATACAACAAAAATTCTAATTCATTATAGCCACATATCCATCTTCCTCCCTTTACTTCAAAAGGACCTGTGAAGAGTATTCAAGAAAGTATTCTACAGAATATTCCTCCAGGACCTTCTTTCACTGAAGCTTTTGTTCAAGGAAGTTATTAGCCTTCGATTTTATAACATGACATATCCATAAGATAAAAACTGCAACTAAATAAATTACTGTAGCATGCACATAGGACTGTAAATTTCTTTGAAAGAGGTATTATCAAAGCAGCAAAATCATTCTAAGAAGTACAAGACAAAGTTGAAAAATTAAAAAAAAAAAAAAATTCAAGTACCTAAATTTCTTTTAAGCATACAATATGGTAGCCTTTATTTTTTGCTTTTAACACTTTTAATTCAAAACACACAAAATTCTGACTTCATATACAAATTCAAAATGGTTAGCTTTTCAGTACCTTGAACAAGTATTGAAGATAAATAATGAATAAAGCAAATGCACCACAAGTGGTCCAGCTAACCAGAGCAAGGGACCCCACCACGCAGAGTCTTCTGGGTGTAATCAATTTAGCTTTTGAAAGTACAGTAGGTCTGAAAAAAGACAGAAACACTCTCACACTTTGTAGTTTTGATGTCATTACAAGATATCTAACAATCACTCTGTTTCACAAATAACTCAGGAGAATGCATTGCTCCCAAATTGATTAAATACTGGAAAAAAGAAGATTAGACAAACATAAACACCAACTGCTACCTGACAAAAAAAACTTCATCAGACACCTTCCTGTAACCAACACATTATAGTTACTAGCTTGTAACTAAGGCATTACTTTTACTTCACTTGGGGAACACAGCTTCACATACTTCAGTGAATGTAAAGCATTAACTTATCCTAACTCTAAGATCTACATAGTCACTTAGTTCGTCTGTTGAGACAAAGAGAACCAGCACTGTATTATTACTGCTGCACATTCAAGTGACTCCAACTGCAGACATTTCATACACTGCAGTCTTCAAAGGTAGCACAGCAGCATGCAACAATAAGCTTACAATATTAATTTTGTGACATTCTTCTCAGACAGGAATTTCTGCTTGCTCACAGCATGAGTGACATAGGAAAGCTTATTTTGAGTCTCAGCTTTCCAGAAGATATTACTAAGAGACAAGTATGAAACTAGAATGACAAAGATGAGATGATGAGATAGAAAAATGTGGGAATGCAATGGGAAAGATAGTGCAATATCTATAATTTCTTGGAATTTCACTGAACATTCCAGTATTAAAATAGACAGTGAAAATGGGAAAAAAGTGTTATTTGGAAAACAACATCTTAAAAGCTTTTGCAACAAATACTGAAAATAACCACAAAGAGAAACATAGAATCATAGAATCCTTAGAGTTGGAAGGGACCTTTAAAGATCATCTAGTCCAACTCCCCTGCAATGAACAGGGACATTACAGCTAAATCAGAGGTTGCCCAGGGCCTGATCCTGCCTGGCCTTTAAAGTCTCCAGAAATGGGGCATCAACTGTATCTATGGGCAGCCTGAGAAGAGTACTTGACAGGAAAAAAACTCCACAGTCAGCTAATGACAAACTATTTGCTGCTGACCATATCAGAATTTCTTTAAAAACTGAGCTGAAGCCAAATAAATACTATTCTACTTAAGAGAGATTTATAAAATCATCTTCCCCCGCCTCCCCCCACCAAGAAATTCAGGACTGGAGCAGAACCTGCGTAAAATACTAAAACTGTGATATTAAAAAGCCATTTCATTTCCCTTTTGGTGATGCGTAACAAGGAATATGAGGCACTTCTCATTCTCCATTAGTACTAGCACACTCAGATGTCTAAAATCAGGCAGAATTTCATCTGTCCAACCATTCAAATCGAAGCAAACAAAAATGACCATGTTGCAGACATCTAAAAAAGCATAGAGTATAACGCTGTTTTACCTAGTCAGAGTTAACCATAATGAAGAGAAGATTCTCAGAGACGTAGAGAAAAATACTGCACTCCAGAAGGCAATGCCTGTCCCAAAAAGAAATAGAATCAGGGACACAAGGGGGAACCATGCATCCTGACTACTCAGTACAGCAGCATCCACCTCTGGTAGCAAGAGTGAATCCCATATCTCTCTAAACCAGTTAAACCTGCCAAAAACATGAAAGCAGTATTACTTATCACTTCCACTTGCTACAACAGTAAGACATTCAATCAACTACTCTTCTTACTTACAGCTTTTCAAACAAAATCACAGTCAGACCATAATATAATAATCATCCCACCAATAGTTATTCTGAAATTTCTTGCTTTAGAAACTGCTTTAAAAAAAAAAAAAAAAGATAATGCAAACTTACCCCTGCAGAAACACAACAATGCTTATAATAGGTTCTACTTTGTAGGGTTTAGCTGTTCTAACTAGTTCAAGTGAAAATTCTGAACACTGGCCTAGAATCAAGAACAGAAAGCACCTATAATTATTATTTTGTCATGAACTTGAACAAAGACTAATCACAACAAAAAGCAAATTCAAGAAAAAAATTTGAAAGTTCACTTTCAAGATAACCATGTCTTATGACAACACTGTATATCAGCCTACTGCATCATGGTTGGACTTGATATCATAAGTCTCTTTCAACCTAATAGATTCTGTAATTCTATGATCAGAGGGCCTTATTCACTGCATGATTCATGGTCAGATTGTATGGCACAAGAGCTTCCAGAGGAATTCAGTTTGTTACAAATACCAACCTGAATTTAAATGAAAATGCAATCTGTCTTAAGACATGTCTAACAAGCAGTCTCCAAATCTCAACTTCATGCAAGATTAAGTTGTTTTATGTATTTTAACATTATATTTTAAATTTTTACATGCATTTTTAAGTAGTTTTCTATTAATACTAAAATATGGTGCAACACACTAATCACAAGGAAAGAAAAACAAACTGCTAGAACACAACCATGGAGAACTATCAACAAAAACTGAAGCTAAAGAATGTATATCCAAAGTATTTGCTCGAGTTCAATGATACCTGGCTTAAAAAAATATCACAACTGCTAAATCATCAACAGTAAATTCGAGAAGCAATTAATTCAAAAACACTAGAAAAAATATTTTTCCAGAAAGCTACCTGTTGACATCAGTGTACTCAACTGTCCTCCATAGGTAAGGAGAATATTAGAAACAACATAGACAGGAAGAGCACCAGCATGGAATCTTATTATCTGAAAGACAAGGATAAGAAAATCCTTTGTATACATACACACACAAAAAAATCAACATCAAGTCAGCACAACAATTTCACTGGAAGATCTATCCTAAAAGATGCTACCAGTTTCTTGTTAACATGTACAAGTATTTGATAACCACTCTTAACAATTAATGGCATATATGGACAATACTCTCATAAATGACTACTCAAATGTGTTTTTATAAGGGATCAAAATATAAACAGAAGCCTTTCTTTTTTTTTCCATTTACGACAAATACAAAAAGAATAGAGTAGCACATTACTGGTAATTCAGTAAAATTCATAAGCAAACCCTAAAAGCAAAAGGCACTTTCCAAGCAAAACCTACATAGTTATGAATCCTTTCAGACTCAAATTTCATTTACGTTTTACCTGGCATCCACTGTACAAGTAATGAAATAATATCCCTTTACATAAAGATAGTACAGAAATTCTTCTAAAATGATAACAAAATGAAAAATCCTCGATATAATTGCATATTTTCAGATACAGAAACTTGTCAATAATATTCCAGAGCCATACTTAGGATCTTGGGAATTTAATTACTTTTCAGAATTTAAAAACTGCAGATGGGTGGTGTATTCTTACTGACACCAATGTAGAAAAGTATTCCTCAGGCATAAAAGGAAGAAAAATAGTTATAGAGACAAACTGAGCTACTTATGCTTTTTTAACCCTACTTTTGTTTCATGTCAAATGTTCAAGTTTTATCAGTACTGACTCATTAGGCAAGACAGTCAAAATGACTTCCAGTGCCATACTTTTATAGATACTGGGCTAACTACAAAGACAAATGTTCAACATATACACTACACTCTTTAGAGCTAGTAAGATTTTCTATCACGAAAACGGGGGCATCGTATGGGATGATTTGTCAAGTGAGAAAGTTTTAACTGGTCCTCAAATAGTGCTCCTTTTGGCATCAAGAAGGGATTTCATGTGCCACAGCAGGAGAGCAAGAAAGGAAAAACTTGTATTGAAAGTCCCTCTTACTTGTCCAAGAATTTGTAAAAACGACGTTCTCAGAATTACCTGCATAAAAAAAGATAACAGATAATTTGAGTGTTATTTTGCACAATGTCTAACAAATACAAAACACTTTTAAGAAACCAACTTAACTATGAGAACACAACAATCCTGTAATTGAAATGTACAACAACTTACTACCAACTTTTTTTTAAAATAAATACTTTAATGTTTTGCATAAAGAAGTATAAGCCCAACTTTCAATAGTCCTCTAGCTTGGCAAAACAGTTGTAACAAGTACTACGTTTACAAATTGGCCAAAGAGCAGAACTTCAAATTTGCTTAGTATTTGTCTTGCTAAAAAACACCCACAGTGATTTGAAAGACTGAATTATACAAAAATTATACATTGACACAAATTAGCAATGAAATGTTTCTTACTTCATACTGACAGTCTGATGAAGAGTAAATGTTTAACACTGGAAACCCGCTCTCATTTTCAGGCTGAGCCATGTGCAGCTTCGCAGAAATTTCAGTAAACGATGGGACGCTGAAAGAGAGCAACTTAACTGTAATCTTTTCCTCATAATAAAAAAGCATAACACGCTTTTGTCTTCAGCACGCGCTCATGAAACACCAAGTGCCATCACAAGATGTGAACTGAAAGGCATACTGAACTTGCTTATTCTATCAAAAGAAACCATAGAACGGTTTGGGTTGGAAGGTATCTTATAGTCTGTGTAGCTTCAACCCTTCTGTCATGGGCAGGGACACCTTCCACTAGACCAGGCAACTCAAAGTCCTATCCAGCCATCCAAGAACTATTCAATATTCTCAAGTCACTGTTTTCCAGTCTACCAAGAGGCATAGTATTAATGAAAACTGACATAACACCTCACAGAACATGTAAATATTCTAAATGAAGAGAATGGGTAGGACAGATTGTCAAGAAACAATTCAGCTTCCTGTAAGCATTAAGCTGCTGGAGTAGAAAATACGGGAAAAATACCTGAAGTTCAATCAGGTTGTTCAACTACAATTCATGAGTGACACACATTTCAAGGGGTATCATTTGTTTTTGTCAGGGCTGTACTATTGAAAGAGCTTAGGGCTACTCTGTGATCAAAAATCTGGATTACAGGAAGAAACCAGTATCCAGAGCAAGCTAAGTCCCCATTCATTAAGGGGTCAAACCTTAAAATTACCAGGAAATTGAACATCCACTTCCAGAAAATAAGTAATAACAATTAACAATTAATAATAAGCAAGCAATTAATTTATCTATTAGTAGACATTGTGAAGAAAAATCCAAATAACTTTGTCAAGAAAGGCAGACAGATAAATGAGAGAAACACAAAAGCAAAGCACTTGAGACTGGAGAATTTGTCTCATGTCAGAAATACACCCACAATGGAATGCTCAATCTCTTTCAAAACATAACAAGAAATTAGAATTGTTAAAGTCCTTACTTAACCACAGTTACTGAGTCTTCGTGTGACCAGGGTATACGAAGTCTGTAAACACTAGGTTTTCTTTCTGAAAAGGAAGATAATTGCAAACAAAATTCATTCAGAACAAGATGTGGCAAGATCTGCAAAAATTAAATGAAGAAAATTTAATAGTTCCACTGAATACAGACACAACATTTACTACATAACATTTCCTCAAAACAATGCCAAAGCACAAAAACATACACACACTGCTTACCACTTATTTACATCTGTATATCATACCTGACTCGGTATAATTTCACTTCAAGACTTTTAAAATGCAAGTAAAACAAGAAGTGGCCTACAAATCATCATACAGAAGCATTTTGCTTGTATTTACATTTCAATTAAAACCACAATGCAGTTCAGTGAACTTAGCATTGAACAAAAATGACATTTTTAAACACATGTTGTTACATAACAAGACAAGACACCAACATTTAAAAAGCAGAACAGTTACAAGAAAAACCTCTGATTTTCACTTGAAAGCTATTTCCTCAAGCTAATAAAACTTTGTTTCAAAAAAGAAAAAAAAAAGTCCTTAAGCATCCCCTTCTGTTTGAGTTAATGTTTGCTCAACACTCAGATTTGAGTGCCAGGATTGGTCAAGTACTATATAGTTGAGAAACACTTGCAATGTAACACAGAAATCTACTTAAAGTTGAGCTTTCCTTTGCTGAGAAGCAACGAAGACCAATTCCCTATTTTCTTTGAACTTGATAAAAAGTGAGAAATGGAATGATGGAACAACATATTCTGAATGTTGTCTTCGAGCAAGTGGAGGAAAAGAAGGTTATCAGTAGCAGTCAACATGGATTCACAAAAGGGAAAACATGCTTGACCAATCTGATAGCCTCTGAAGATATCACAACCAGCTGGGTAGCAGTGGATGTTGTCAACCTTGATTTCAGCAAGGCTTTTGACAGTATCTCCCATAACATCCTTGCAGGTAAACATAAGAAGCGTGGGATAGATGAGCAGTGAGCTGGACTGAGAACTAGCTGATTGGCAGAGCGGTGAGGGTTGTGATCAGCAGTGCAGTCTGGTTGAAGGCCTGTATTTAGCAATGCACCTCAGGGGGCCAGTACAGGGTCTGGTCTTGTATAACATCTTCAACGATCTAGATGAAGGGACATAGTCCACCCTCACTAAGTCTGCTGATAATACAAAGCTAGGAGGAGTGGCTGACACACCAGAAGGCTGTGCTGCCACTGAGTGAAAGTGAGGTTCAATGAAGGCAAGTGTAGAGTCCTACATCTGAGAAGGAATAACTGCTCACATCAGTACAGATTAGGGGCTGACCTGAAAGAAAAGAGCTCTGAAGAGACGGACCTGGGTGCCCTGGTGGACAACAGGTTGACCATGAGTCAGCAGCATGCCCTTGTGACCAAGAAGGCCAATGTTGTCCTGGGGTGTATTAAAAAGTGCGAACAGCAGGTCATGGGAGGTGATTCTCTCTCTCTACTTTGCCTTGATGAGACCTGTGTCTAATTACAGGTTTCCAGTTGAAGAAAGACAGAGCTTCTGAAGAGAGTCCAGCAGAGGGTCACAAAGATTATTAAGGGCCTGGAGCATCTCCTCATACAAGCAAAGGCTGAGAGACCTGTGACTGTTCAGCCTGAAGAAGACTGAGAGAGGATCTTATCAATATTTCTAAATCTCTAATGAGCAGGAGTCAAGTGAATGGAGATGGGCTCTTCTTGGTGGTGCCAATGGACACAGACAGGAACACAAAGTTCCACACAAACATGAGGAAGTACTTCTTTACTTTGACAGTGAAAAGCACTAAAACAAGCTGTCTACAGAGGTTGGGGAGCCTTCTTCTCTAGAGATATAAAAAACCATCTGGATGCTTTCCTGTGCAACCTATTCCAGGAAACCTGCTTTAGCAGGGGGTTGGACTAGATGATCTCAAGAGGTCCCTACCTATCCCTACGACTCTGTGACTCTGTAAAGTATTAGCAAACGTTTGATATGTTACAATAGGTTATAATAATGTAAGGTTAATAATAAAGTTAAATAAAAGTTAATAATACAGTTATAATAATACTGCCTAGACTCTATTGCTCAAGTGGACTTGTATTTCTGCAAGTTTTAGCCTGGAGAATTTTCAGCAAGGTTTGTGATATAAATTTATACTTTTGAACACATATATTTACCTATCAGTGACTGGCAGTGGCTCTCTACATGTACTTTGAAAGCTTGATATACCTAAAACATCAAAAAAACCCAACTTAGTCTCCAAACAGCGGTTATATCAGCTTAAAAAGTAAGCACTATTCTTACTTGGTTGAAGTGCTGAAGCTGTACATTGTAAAATAAGCCAGTTGAATTTAATAGAATTTTGCTTGAAGAAAGGCCTGTAAAGAATATATTATTTCAAAATATTAGATACCACTAATTTGAGAACTCAATAATTCTTCAGATCCTTTTTCCCCCACAAGCAATTTACGTGCTTCTATATCTCTTAGTCAAAAAAGCACATTTCTTATTTGTTTGTTGCTAGCAGGAACTGTATTAACTTTCATAAAAACAATTCATCTCCCAAAAGACAAATTAACTAACTAACAAAAAACTCTGACCATTGGAATTTTTGGAAAAAAACATTATCCAAAGTGCTAACAATATATGTTTCATATTTTTTCCAAAAGTAACATGATACACTTACCAAAGGAAAAAAGATTTGTTACAGGGAGCTGTACTGTTCTGGAATCCTCTTTGAAGAATTCACAGTCCAAAGTAAACTGCAATTCAGAATATTCAGCACAGATCTAAATTCAACACAAGACTAAAGCCTTTGCTCTAGCCAATTCCTATTCACAGTGTCAGGCCAAGTACAAGACACAAATACTGAGATGTCACTTTTCTACACTCCACCGATCAAAAATGGCAGTTTGTTTGTTCTTATACACAGCAGTACAAGTTTGGCTATCTTAAGCATAACTTGTACAATTCTCCTGCTTTCAATCATCTGCAACAGTCTTCCAAAGACTATCCAAACAGCTGAGAAAGATCAGAATCCAGTTCACTTTTTTTGTTCAACGGTGGGATGGGAAGTGGGGGTGTGATGTTGCAAGGAGAGTGATCTGTCCCAATTCTTTGTACCACTGCCTAAGCAGATAGAACCTCTAGTTTGACTCCTAAAGTTTAATTACATAAATCAAAGAAAAGCATGCAGCAGATACAATTTTTACCATCTCTAATACATCTTTAGCTCACTTGAAAATTACTTTCCATCACATTGTAAGTTTATCAACTGTGTTCTCTTGAAAAGCAATTTCCATGATTTTTAACAGTGAACTACAACTCAGCAGGTTGTATTTCCCAAATTATCTGTGAGATTCAGAAGTATCAAACTGTGTGAAATTCAGTCTAACACCTTATTTGTGGTTTAAGAGCTTGCGTGGGTGTCTGCACCACTCTGCCCAGAATCCACATGTTACCTTCAAATATCAACAGCACTCTCTGCTACCTTGGATACAAGAATTGATTACACTAAAACAAATATTCAAGAATGATACCAGAATATTAAGAAAAAAATGCAAGAACTTTCAAGAAGAACTCTGAAGAAATTGCTCAAGAAGAAATTGCTTGAGAACTTTTGCTCGGCATGTTTCAACTACTATTCATGCTTTAAGTTTGGCAGTTTATCAACTGCAAACATTTATTAGCTTAAAGAAGTAAATGGAGTTAACCTTCAAACCACACTGTAGTGTAAGGTATACAGTTTATCAATGCAATTTAGCACATATTTAATCCTTTATCTTTAGGGCCTAAAAGCTACAAACACTCTAAGCAAGCAATTTCCATGTTTCATCTTTTTACCTTATTGCCAGCTGAGGGTGGTACAAGAATGACAATGTGGGACAAAGAAGGATAGTCCTGAAGTTTCAGTATTACAACCTGAAAAATTAAAAAAAAAAAGAAAAAGAAAGAAAGAAGAGAAAAAATAAGAATCGTTACTAAACATTGCTCTTAGCTCATCAATTATCAGATGTCCACTTCTTATATCCCTTCCTCTGGAATACAACTGCATGTTTCAATGCTGTAAACAGTACAGCTTTATCTCCCAAGACACAGAACAACCCACTGAACACCTTTCCCTGCTCCTACAATGCTTACCTTGATGGTTGGAAGTAACTCAGCTTTCCAGGATAGATCAGTAGCTTCCAGACTGCAAAAATCCAAAAGAATGTACATTGAGGGATGAACATATTCATTAGCTAGGCACTACATTTTGACTGTGTACCAGGTTTCCCCCCACTGTACACAGATTCACATTTGTGAATTGGGAACAAGTCTAAACCTACTGCAGTTGGCTACCAGTCATTAATCAAACTATAGTCAATCACTATACTGGAAATCTTGTTCTTGCAATAACAAAGTAAGTACAGCTCTAACTTTGTCATGTACAGCAATCAGTAATCACACAACAGCCAACATCATGAAAACTCTTAATAAACAAATGCAGCATCAACATTGAATTAACATACAAATTTTAACATGTGTTAAATATCAAAAGTATCCATGCTTCCATGAATACCAAAACCATATCATATAGAACAACAATTTTGTGTGCAAAACTGGTGTGCATCTATGCTAAGTTATATAATGAACAGTAAGAAATTCATTCAGTCATTTAATATATTACTTTTAGAATACCAGGATTACATTTATTTCTTTAAATAGTGCTAAAGGATCTCAGGACAATGCTGATTTTGCTGCAGATTTTACGAGGCTAGGTTTTAGACAGCACTCCTGCACCATGTTAACCTCTATTTGATGCCAGTCAAAGGTTATACAGAACAGTAACAGTCAAACACACTCCAGCACAGCTCCTCAACATCACACCAGCCCAAATCTATCTGGAAGCTTTCCCTAAATCTAAAGAACAAATCGAATTCACGTGGAGATAACTTTGAAGAGGAAAGCTAAGTCAGTGTTAAGAATAGTTTTGTTTTTTTTTTTTTAAATCCCTTTTTGTAATTACTGTAATGACATGATTCAAATAATTACTAGTGAGCCACATTTCTAAATATTTTCATATAATAACAGCAGTAGCAATTCTGAAATAAGGAAAGAAAAAAAAAAAGATGCTTCACTTTTTGAGGGCTTCAAGTAACGTTTTCTGTCTTTGCCACAGGATTCTAAAGAGATGTTACAAAACACACAATTTAGGATCCAATATAGCATAGAGCAACAGGAACAACTTTTTACTGCTATAAAAATAAAAAATACAGCTTAAAGAAACTTCACTCATTGTATTCTGCATTCATGCAGATATTTTGAGAAAGCCTATCTTTCCTGTTTTCTTGCTGAAAGCACGAGTTATTAACAGCAATAATTCTACTTTTGTTCCCTATCTCTTCTTAAAAAAGGTATTTTATGTGCTCAAAAACTGAAACGTAGTCTTACAAGATCTGTTTAAATAATCATTTATACTCACCATACTGAAGAACTGCTATTCATACAGCCATAAACCCAGCTACTTGTGTCCTGTAACAGCAATACCATCATAAAGTACATTACTGATGTATTAATTTATAAAGATATTAAAAATAGTAATTCTTTAACTCAAACAATGCAAGAGTTTCAGTATTCCAATTGTTCTAAAATTCTTTGATAGAAGAAACTGCTGCAATTAATTTACAAAGGAGAAACAAACTTCCACCCTTCACCTCATTCATCTTCTGTTCAGTACATCTGCAGTAGCTATCTCTATAGCAACCAAACTCTCTTAAGGATTTAATATGCTGAAGTGCAAAAGCAAAAATGGTGACAAAAACGGTCTCTCTCAAACTTCAGTTGCTTTTAATGAAATGTATCCATTAACTTTTATTTTCTTCCATTTCACAGCCAAGTCAGACTTCTGCACTAACAGAAGTTAACATGAAGTCTGGTATCATCACATCGGAACTCCAGTTGTGGAAGGATGAAACATCAATGTGAAAGGTGTTGTTTCTTTTTTTGGGAACCATTTTAAATTTTGTTTGTCGTTTTCTCTACTTATGAATCAGTACTTTTCTCTTAAAGCAAACCCAACATTTGGCAAATATAAGTAAAGACTTTGAAACTGCTCCTGATAAGAACAATTAGAAAAGCACTGAGGATATACACTCTTCTTCATAATGATGGTCTGAACTTCCCTTTGCAGTAAGGAGGATAGGAAGGATGGAACAGGAAAGCACCTAAATTTTCTTGCCACTAATCCAAAACAGTCATGTAATTCTAGGAGGTATATTTATCAATCTCCAGTTTGCCAATAGATTACATTCCTTCTTTTCAAAAATATTTTTTAAATTCTTTCAAAAACATCTTGGCTGAAATGATACATGTAGAACTAAAAATACAACGTATGCTATCATCTCTCAATAAAGGAGACAGCTGAGAAGGTGCTATATTCTTAGTTGGCTCTCACTCACTTCCACTGTCTAGTGGAAGATTTCTGTAGAATTTCTGGCTCACTTCAATGTTATCATGGGAAAACAAACCTATAAATAGCCTTCCTGATTTACAAGTATGGCTGAATCCTGGCAACACCGAAAGTAACTTCTTCATCTAAAGCAATCAATACAGCTACACCAAATTAAAGAAGAAAGCAATCTGGGGCTAACAGTAATAGAGCCAGAAATAAAACAGTGAACTTCAGGTGGCATGGAAGGTTTCAGACCTCATATACTTAGCATGACATGCTAAAACAAAAAGTACATCTGATGCAAAGCATAGGCTGTGACTGCAAGTGGATGTTATTAATTTCAACTACTATTCACTAAATTGTCTTAAAATATGCAGTGGATCCAAATTAACACCATAAATCTATAAACAAATTCCAGACAGAACAATAAGTATCATCTCACCAACATAGTGTTTTCACAGTAAACATGACTGTAGGATTCTCTGTGGCTTGCAAGAGGAAATGTGAAGTATTTTCCATCAGAATCCTCAAAAGAAAAAAAAAATGCTTGTTAGTAGAAAGGACAAACATAAAAACACAACAAAGAAAAACGTTACTTACATTGTAAGCTGAATAAGTCCATTTTGAGGTTTTGACTTCAATCCACGTGAAAGTTCCTAAAAAACAAATAAGTCTTTATTTGTCACCCTGAAGGAAATATTCTTCCTTATCTTTCAAATCTCATCTTTCTTTTATTGCCTAAGTCTTGTCTCTCATCTATAAGTGGCCTTAAATTTTACAAGCTTTATTCCATTCACAGGTTTGCTGCTTCTTAAAATTATATGCAACAGTTATTGTCAAATATCTTTCCAGGGTGTCTAACAAACTAACAGGGAAGTAACGTAACTCTAGGATCCCATTATTACATATTAGTTGCAAAAGAAAAAGTCTATGGATTTCAAAATAAGGCTCTCAAGAAATCAAAATAAACAAGAAACCGAGTAACATAAACATAATTAAAGGGGGACAGACATTAAATTAAGGCAGCATTAGAAACATTCCCAAATTTTGTTTCCATCATCCTTTTAAGAAAACTAATATTTATGTGAAACTTATGTGAAAGAAAGTCAAAGATGAGCTGAATACCACGTACAAGAAAACAGTAGGAGTTTAAAGATACAGCTGGAGAAAAAGAATGATACAATAATGAATAGACTTGATGTATAAACTATGCAAGTTGTGCAAGAAGGTTAATATTTTTCTTCTGTGTAACCAGAATAAGGTAATCACTCATTTAGTGTGAACAAACACAGTTCCCTAGGAACTAGAAATTTTGATGATCTTCTGCAGGACACATTCCAGCACATCAGTGTCTTATGTACTTTCTCGTAAGAGGGTGGCCAAAACCAGAAACCAAAGTTCTAGCTATCTCAGCAGCTCTGCAATAGTTTACGTTTTAAAAATTTCTGAAATAAAATGGTTTTCCTCAGTTCAGACCTCTTCAACAGATCTAGGAATACACCTGTGCCCTACAAAAACATATTTTTAGCTCCCAAGAATTCATACGCTCAAGATTTCTTATCTTTTAACTATGCATTCTTAGCAGTAACAAAGAAACCACCAGTAGGTGAGCCATTTTGCCCTGCTTCTTGATACCATTACGAAAAGGAAGTCATTGATGAAGTAGCCCAGGACATTCAGAATTTTCTTAAGTAGCACAGAATTATCACAGTGGCTCTACAATACTCACATTATCTTTCTAACAAGAATGGGATGTAAGCATAAATTATAGTCTACTTTTAACGTCCAGCTATACCCAACTTCTGAGACTTTCTATTGGACATCTTGGTATATGTGTCTATTTAGCTTGTCCCTCAGAATCAAAGGCATATAAAAATGACACACTTATTTTTGCCCCTAACACTTACAACCTATTTAGTGCTGGAAACCATACAAACACTGACCAGTTTACATTTAAAATCTATATTATTATTTTAGCAATGTCTAAAAAAGGACAAACTTTATTTCAGGAGTTTGCTGGTAAGAAGATCAACCAAGGAGTATCACTGAATCCTGTTAAGGAGAAAACTGCTGCACACCTGTAAGTTCTGTGAAAGCTTCAGGATTTTCCTCAAATATCTTTCCAGGGTGTCTAACAAAGTGGTGATTCAAAACAGACATTCTCTTCTTGGGATCCTCAGTTATCTTAAGGAAAACAAAAAATAAAAATTAATGAATACCATGATCAGTAGAAATGCAGCTTAGGGGTGCTTTGTATTCTTGTCTACTCTTAACACAAGCAAACCACACTATTAATCACAGAATCATTTGAGTTGGAAGGGACCTTTAAAAGTCATTTAGTCCAACTCTCCCTGGAACAGACATGGGCATCTACCCTAGATCAGGCTGCTCCAAGCCTGCTCAACCTGAACCTTGAATGCCTCCAGGGATGGGGCATCCACCACCTCTCTGAGCAACCTGTTCCAGTGCTTCACAACCTTTATCTTAAAAGACTTTTTGCTTATATCTGATCTAAATGTCACCTGTTTTACACTGAAGCCATTTTCCCATGTCCTGTTACAATATGCCCCACTGAAGAATCTGTTCTTTTCCTTTAGATACTGAAAAGCTGCTATCGGGTCTCCCCTGATATTACTGCTATTATTAGTAGTATTCTCTAATTAGACACACATACCTTCTTCTCAAAATATCACACTTTTGGCAGAGTTGAAAATTCTTAGGTTTATATTTACTTCTCTGGGGTTATAATTCTAGCTTAATACATCTCATTTAATCTTTTTCCATCATCCAAACAGCTCTAAGTCTATGCTGGGCTTCACTTTTGTTCTAATTTATTTGTTTGTTTCTTTTCCCCCAAATCAAATCACAGAGACTAATGTTTTTTCTTCAACACCGTGGATATTACAGTTGGTTTCTGTAAAGTTTTACCCTTCAGCACACTGTCAGTCTACTTCAGAACAACTGCAATGCCTTTCTATCTCTGTAAATTTCATATTAAAGTGAGCACACTTAAGAAACCAGTGAAATCTGTACCACAGATTCTGGAAAAACAAAAACCAAACATTTGTAAGCCTTCCTCTTCTATGCCTGGGGCTCTGCTCTTGCATATTTCCAAGCTCTGGACCTTAATCCCAATCCCAATTTATTGCTGCCTAACACCTCAGAAAGAGAACAGAGTACCAAGGGAGGTTTCCCAACAATTTTCAAGAATTAGGGTGTGTGATATTTCTTTAGAAAAGAAATAATTGATGGTAACTAGAGATAAACACATCAGCTTTTCTTTGTGCTAGTATAGGATTTGTGTTATTTGCCAGCCATTATAACAACATACGGGAAAGTTTCAGTAGTATCAGGCCTGAGATAAACTACCGCAGTTTTTCATCCTTAATACATGAGGTATAAAAGGGGAGTCGAAGACACTAAGAGATTCCGTTCAAAATTTGTTTGTTATGATGCAAGTTCAACAAAACCTATTGCACTAGTGAATAAAAGTTCAGTCCACACTCCAGCTATAAAGCATCAAGAAATAATAAAATTATTTATAAAATAATAAAAATTAATATAACATCTAATTATTTCTGACATCTTGAGCAAATAACACAAAGCCGTGGGATTTTTTCAGAGACCAACAAGGTAACAATTCTCTCAGCATGACACAGAAAAAAAAAAATCAAAAGTGAGCCTCCTGTCTATCAAGGTGTTATTTATTCTGATTAAGCATTCTTCAGTGGAAAACCAAAATGCGATGGAGATTACCTACAGGATCATATTTACAAACCTGCCTTGTGTTCTCATCTATGAGATCAAAAAAAGCTCTGATGGTAGCCAGGATCAATTCTTTGCACCTGGAAAACAGAATAAGTAAATTGAAATCTAGAAAGAAATTATCCAAGGGAATAAAAGTAGGAGGAAGAGACAATACTGTGCTGACACAACATCGTTGTATAATGTAAGAAGAATAGAGAACAGAGAGATGTTTGGTCAGCCAATTAACCTTTGTCTGATTTGCTTACCACACTATGGAGAGATGGTCTGTTGAGGCCCAAGCCCTAGGCACAGCTGAACTCTGTTTGGAGAAGGAATAGAGTTAAGACATTCTTTTGGTAGTCAGTATTTTAAAATACTAAGCATGTTTGTTGTTTTTTTTTTTTTCTTACTTAAATCTATTTGGGTAATTAAGAAGATTTTCAGGGAAAGTGTTTGAAGAGAATTACATCTTCAGACCAAAACCTTGTTAACTTCAGCAAAAATAAGAACTTGTAAAACAAAATGACTAAGGAAGTATCCACGCTAGACAGCGGAGCCTAGTGGTGAAAGGGCAAATTATGTTAAAGAATAAACTCACCAAAAGGTCTTCAAAGACTGCTTCTATGACTAATATTACTAATTTTAGTAAGTGATCCTGGCATATTAGAACAGAAAAATGCCAGCGAAGCCTGCTGCTGAAAAATCAAGGACATCCTCAAAATAAAAGATCATGAGAACATCATGCAGACAGAACTGGATGGTCTGGAGCTATACGTTTGTACAAGTGCACCTACTGCATGTAGGGACTAATATCAAAAACCTCCCATAGAGATTATCAGCTAATAGTACAACTCAACTCAAGTAAACTACGAAAAACTATGAATTACAGCCAAGAAGAAAAAAATAAAGCAGAACAAATAACTCCACCATGTTAAGGTAACATAGTATGTGTTGTTAAATCCAGATGACAAAACAATAAAGAACTGGCACCACTATATAGGGGATCTCATTCAAAATTCTGGTGACCAACACTCAAGAGAAATGAAAGTGCAGCAGAAGCAGAGAAAGGTTCAAACGCAGAGGACAAATGCAGAGTTAATCTTCTTAGCCTAGCAGAACTAGAGCTGAGACTATTTATAGATAGTCTTCTGCACAATGAACAAGGAGGGAAACACCAACCAAATAAAAACTGCTGCAGATAATATTTCAAGTTGATGTCAGAACAAACCCATTTACAAGCTGGCTTACACACTAGATGAAAGTTGGAAGCTGCAATTTTTCTTTCAAACCCTACTGGGGAGTGTTGTCCAGTGTCTTTCATGAAGGCAACAGGTAGATAGGAGGCATGAAATGAAAAACAAAACTACTTCTATGACGTTGTTTGATTAACATTGGAAAGGGATGCTTGTAAAAGCAGAAGACTGGACTAGATAGTCAGAAAATGCTAAATTCTTTCAAAAATAAGCAATTAAGGAAAAAAAAAGAAAGTGGCTCAATGACAGAGTTGTCCTTTTGTAATCAAACAAGAACTCTATACTTTTACATTCCATCTGTTAGCTTCCACATACACACCTCTTGCAGAACGCAAGAAAATAAAGAGTGAATTTAGAACAGAAAAGTGCAAGAAGGTGATGAAAAGAAACAGCCCAAGTGACAGATGACTGGAATCCACCCCAGCACATACTTTTTCAATAGACACATGATGTTCTGCTACATTAACTACTTAGAGTACTATATGTTATATACTTTTTCACACATATTACTCATATTTTGTTTCACTACACTACATACTCAGGCTAAAATCACATACTGATACATGCATTACATAAATAGCTATTTAAAACAGCTCCATGCAAAAGCAAAAACAGGTTTGCGGGTGGGTTTTTTTTTGTTTGTTTTTTTTTTTGTTTTTTTACCACAACAGATAAGGCACTGTCATGCTGACTCAGTCTTGGTAGAAAAGCCAGTCCTGAGCGAACTTGGTAATCTCTGAATCCTCCCGCCACAGAAAGGGTAGTTAAATTTCTTAAATCTTGGGCCTTTAGAGTCCAATGATTGTTTACAGCTGTATAAAAATCTGTAAAATACATCACAGTTAATGATAATTTCCACACATCTATTTTAAATACAAACATACCATAAGAATGTTTAACTAAAAGTTTCTGTAAGCTCCCCTAAAGACATTCAAGACCCAAGCATCACTCTGTTTTAACTGTTGTTTGAAACCCAAGGAGGTAGTAGTTGGGAAAGACAGACACACTTTCTACATTAGCTGAGCATTTACATTGTTTAAGTAGCAAATCACAGGTTTATTTTAAGTACAGCCATAGTCCAGAAACAGCAATGAGGAAATATTACAGTCAGTTGTAGAAGAAAAGATTAATACAAATACAATAAATCAAATTCAGCAGCTACAGATGATCCATTTCCTTTGGGTGCCATAAAGAACAAAGAAAATAAATGTCTATTCTTTTCCTTCACTAATTCCTTAAAGATCTACAAGGAACAATTTTCACTAAGCATATATTTCATCAGCACTATTTAGTAAAATCTGTCATTCTAATAAGTTAACAGTACATAAATAATGATTATACTTATCTTATAGAGCAGACAATACATTGCTGCTTTTATACATATATGAAAATACGTTATGTAAAACATAATTTTATCTATATTCAATATTCATTCTCCCTGACTTTGAGGGCAACAAGCACTAAATTTAACAACTTCCACAAAAATATCTCCATTTAGTCAATTTATTTAATATAGAAAGTCACTCCAGAGGTCAAATTTTACAAAAAAAAAAAAAAAAAAGAAATATCATTCTCTGCAGAGCTTACAAATTTAGTTACATGCTCTACAGCTTATTAAGTTTATATTTAGACTCTCAGTCCCTTCACAGGAGCTCAAATCCACAAAGTCAATTTTATACCACACTTTCAGTAGCTGAGTGCTCTCAAGCAACCATCATAATAAGAAAGGAATAGATTAATGACAGTAAACAGAACGGTATATTTTGCACACAAAAGCTGCTCTAAGGCCACAGCAATTTGCAAGAATCTCACCTGTTACTGCTAGAGAAAAATCAGTAAAGAAACAAAATGTACTTAGGTAAACTGCAGTCCTTACCAGTAAGATATCTGTCCAAAGGCATTACAGGTGCAACATGAGGTGTAGCTTGTGTAATGAGGAGGTTTATAAGTTCCGGCTTAAAATTCTTCAGGGTAAGCAGTGCTCTTGCAACAAGACCACCCATGGAATGACCTACTATGGCAACGCTGGTTGGTGCAAATTCCTGACCCTTAAGCAAAGACCAAAGGGTAATTAGCATATCAAGAACAGATTTAACATTAAACTAAGTCTCCTCTGGCTAACAGATGTCCATTTTTCTCCTCAAATTCACTTGTATTCCCTCAAGGCTAATACTAATTAGAATAACACAGGCTAGCAGAAAACTTTTCTAGGAAAAACCAGATAGAAGTTGATGCTATATTACTATTTTAACAAGTTAGGGAAAATTTAATGCTCTCCTACAAAAAGGCATGTATTTCACATAGAAGTATTTATTGTGAAACAACAAAAAACCTAACCCAGATTTTGGGATTATCACAAGCAGTAGAAACATATTAAAAAAGAGTCTCCCTTCTATTATTGGCATGTTCAACACATCATAAACCCTCCCTCCCTTATTCACAATCTTCTGCTTCCAATCAGAAGAGACAGATCAGAATTCCATTCAAAAATAGAAGTAAATAGTTTAGAATATGTCACTCCTTACCTTGTACAACTTAAGAATTACTTTTAGGCATTCATGCACAAATTTGGTCTGCCGTTGGAGAGTACCACCATACAATGCAACCAACTCCTCATTAAAGTTGACACTGAAGAAATTAAAATGATACTTGAAGTCAAGATCCTCTGCCTTTCTAAGAGCGATGGAGCCAAGAGAACGCACTAGGAAAAGAAATCACATCAATTAAGCGGCGACCATTAGACCACCCTTACATCATAATTAGTATATAGACACATAAATATGTGACCTATTAACAAATGCTACCTTGAATGCAACTCAAGTCTTGCATGAAAAAGACAATGAAAAACACATTCAAAAGCAAACGTTTTTCTAAATGCAATCTTATTTTGTTTCACAAAAGCTGACTTGAATATATAAGTAATTAGAACAAAGTATCAGCTGGCCAAAGACAGTACTAAGTTGCAAAATGGAAAATGGAAAACTTAGTTTCTTTTTTTGTAAGAATTCTTCTGATACAGAGAAGTATTAGTAAATATGTTATAATAAAAGCTTACAGAAGAAGGTGGGAAAGAATATATCTGATGAGATGGCAAAGAAGGTTGCAGTGAACTAGCAAGAACTGCTGCTCTCAGCAGCTGACTATATAGACACAATGTCTAAATCAGATACAAGATCAGTGATCATGCTTCTCTTCCTAAGGACTTCACTCACACCTTATCACCAAAAGGGTGAAAATGCAAAATGCAGAAATTCTTCAGCTCTGCAGACAATGCTCTTGCTAGGGCTTTCTAAAACTTCTTGAAGACCATCAACTTTTAGAACAACATTTCCAGAGGAGGGGAAAATGAAAGCACAAAGAATACTTTTCACACCTGAAATCTTGAGGGAGAAAAGGCCTTGCTTCTGACCTGTCATCCACCCAGCTGCTGCTTACTACAGCCTTCAGAGTGCAGAACTCTCACTGTGTTCCACATCTGTGACAAGTTCCTAACTAGAACTCAGGATCTCTAATCTCCCAGTCTCAGGTTCGTTTCCAATATTTCAACCAGACTATCATCCTCTACTCGAAATCTGAATTTTGGAAATTTTAAAAGCTTGATTTCAGTGCCCATGAAAGATAATGAAATCACATATTTCAGAAGTGCCCAGAATATACCGAAGGAGAAGCCCAGCAGCGCTTCCGCTTTCATTTCTCAGCAACATGAGCACAGTTTCAAAAAGCTTGTGAATAACAGTTAGCAGCAACTCTGCTCTGCAGCGAGGCACCAGGCTTAAAAGGTATTGTCCTATAATAAATACTAAATCAAATATGAATCCTCATGATAAATCCTCTTAAAGCAAAAAAAAACCACCACCAACAACACAACAGTAATCTATTCTGAGCCACTGATGAAGGCAGAACAAAATTATTTAAACAAAGATTTTGAAAAATGAGCCCAGCTTACTGCCAGTCTTCCTAAATCAAATTCTCAAAGTAAAGAATAGATATTTAGAGGCCCTACTGTAAAGCAGCATGTTATCTGTGGCATGTAACAGTACCTCCAACTCACCAAACTTGTTCTTCATTCCTCCCCTACACCACAGGTACTATTCTATTTCCTGCTCTGTCATGTTTTTTGAGACAGTGTTACTTCACAGCAGCTTTAAAATACGTTACACACCATCAGTTTTCCATACGGTATCTCCCATCATCATGATATTTATAACCTCCTCTGGATATTATTTTCTCCACAAGCCTGTAAGCATTTACAGAAAGTAAAACACTTTGCTTGAAACTGACCATGGACTAATAAGGATTTTCCCTGCCATAAGCCGATTGATCATTACAGCCCCTGTTGACGCTATTTCAAATAGAAAACCTCTTGCCATCACCTGATGCATAACTACAGGAACTCTGCAGATGGACTGTAAATTAGCCAAAGGTTTACCTTGTTTGTAACTGCCAGCATTTCCAGGAAGAAAGAGAATTGGAATGCCTGTCAATATCAGATTCTTGTTTTCTTCAGCATAATTCCCTTCTCCATAGAGGTAGAGCTCGTACGCTGGATATCGCCTGGCTGTTTTCTTCGGTAATTTTATTTTCTGTTGCAAAAGAAAAAGGCAGCACAGAATTAAAATTCTACCTTTTAGGACACATGAACTCAATACAAAGGAGGCAGCCTGCACTCAGTAACAAGGCGTAGGGGCTCCAGACTTACTGAGGCGCTGCTGAGAGGTAGCTGATGCAGATTGGACTATCAGCATGCTCTCATTACAATGTATCCTGCATGCCAGCTGTCGGTTGAACAGACCCTGTGGCCTGGAAGTTCACCAGGGCACAGAAAACTAAGTAACATTTGTTTCTTGGAGGAAAGAAGGCTGCGGGGTGACTTCATTGCAGCCTTTCAATACCTAAAGGGAGCCTACAAACAGGAGGGGAACCAACTCTTTGAAAGGGTTGATAACTGCAGAATAGGGGGAAATGGTTTTAAGTTGAGGGAGGGGAAATTTAGGTTGGATGTCAGGGGGAAATTTCTTTACAGAGAGTGGTGAGGTACTGCAACAGGCTGCCCGGAGAGGTTGTGGATGCCCCATCCCTGGAGGTGTTCAAGGCCAGATTGGATGGGGCCCTGGGTAGCCTGGTCTAGTATTGAACGTGGAGGTTGGTGGCCCTGCGTGTGGCAGGGGGGTTGGAGATTCATGATCCTTCCAACCCTGGCCACTCTGCGATTCTGTGTCTGAATGCAGATTTAAGTTTAAAGGAACCAAACTCTGATGCCCAGCTCCTTGGAACACTTACTGACTTTAACTGGATTTAAACTGCAAGACTGCAATTACACTTCTGCAGTTGCACACTCTCCAAGCAAACCCTGCCTTGTGCCTCAGGTGAAAAAAGTGTTAAACCATAAATGTGTCACCCAGGACAAGAGATTTGAGACCAGGAACTGGGACATCTGTGTGATCCAAATTACTATTCCTAATGCCTTTGGATGATTCTGGAGTCATTTCCGACATCACACAACTCAGAACAACCCTGCACTACCTGAAGCAGCACTGAATCTCTAGAGTGTGACTCTTGAAGCGAGCGTGCGATGACAGCGATTTCTGTGAAGGTGAAACCACACGGGCAGCAGGAACTGTCTCCAGGGATTTTTATGGAGACATCATCCATAACGTGAACTTAAACAACAGAGCTAGCCACGTGAGCATGGCTCAGCAGAAAAAAAGAAGCCAACCTGAGGAGTTTTAGTCTTTGGAGTCAGACGGTTGGGTCACTGACACACAAGCTGACCTTGTAAAATCTAAGGAGCCAATTTACAGCCAATTGATATCTAAAAATGTCTCTAAGGTCTCTGTTGAGATCTTTGCCTACACAGAAGCAGCTCAGTTTCCTCTCAGATGTACCTCTGGGGAAGCTGTACTTCTCTTCCCCTTGTATCGCTCCTCCCTTCCCCTCCTATTCCCTGTCTGCTCCTCCTTAACTGAGGACCATTTCCTTTCTCCCTCAGTTTTCAAACTGTTTGCCATACCAGCTATCAGCAACCTCCCCTTATGGTCTTCGATACAGATTTATAATAGAAAACTGAGATACATCTAAAATTTTATGTAATGTGTGTATATATATATACATATATCACATTATAAATACACACAAATAGTCGTAATTCCTTCACTCTGAACAAAAAGCACTGGGCTCTGTTCAGGCCTGACGTTTGCAGATCACCCATACGATCTTTGTCAAAGACATTCAGGTTTCTGTGGAAAAAAAAAAAAAAGCACAGACCCATCCTTACATTAACTGAAACAAGCCTTCATTAGTAAGCTAAGTAAACTTCCCAACTGGCCGAATAATCTGTTCAGCTGCTCCTCCACGGCACCATTCTGGTTTGTCAAAAGCTTTCAGATAACATAAAAGCCAAACAAGCTGTCACCTTTGGGTCAATGTCCCAAGCAAACACCTACACATATCATGAGAACTGTACAACCACAATATTGCTTTTTTTTCCAGCAAATTGAGGAGCCCCACTATTACAAAAGTATGGTGACAGAGCCCCAGCGTGAAGCAAGCAGCCCTGTTCCTTGTGGAGGTTTTAGGTCTTGAATTCCCAGGACCTCAATTACATAATTTGCTGTAATGAGTTACAGCAATTTGTTACAATGTCAGCGTAGGCTTCTTTTTCACCTTACTGCCATGGAAATAAGGCGTATAGGAAAAAACCCTCCATACCAACTTCAGAATCTCTCACTGAGCTGAGCCCAGCAGGATAAGCATTGGTTAAATTCAAATGTTGTGGTTTACAACTCTGGGGGGGTATGGGGGAGGAAAGGAAAAAAAAAAAAAAAGAGAAAAGAAATAAAAAGGTTAAGAAGAAAAAAAAATCCATGCCAATATTCTTCAACTTGGTATAAGCTCAATAGAAGCTACTAGAAAAAAATGGATTCCAGAAAATCAAATCTACTGCACTTCAGTGTTCAAGGAACTGCCTGTTGTGTAACGCAACACCCAAACCAGAAAGATCTGGTACCTGGTAACATCTACCTGACAGTTTTGCCCAGTAACGTCACACCAATGGCAGCACTGCAAAGTCCACACATTAAAATGAAAACAAACAACCCCTCCAAGAACAAACAGGTAGCTGAAAGCTACGATGACTTCACCAACCCAAACAAGTTGATATTCTCCTCTGGAAGCACTGCTTTCCACACAGTCAGAGCGTTTACTCTGGGACCAGTTGCTGTGAGAGGCAGCAGCACAGCCAGATGCAATGTGCACGGCTCCACTTGGAGCTGCTGCCACTTCACTGTCCCTGTGCTCATCCCGGGCCTCGCAGCTCTCACAGCACAGAACCAATGTCATGGAGAATACAAGCACTCACATGGCAAGTAAACGCAAAAGGGGAGTGCTGGCAGATGGTAATTTCAGGCTACCCATGATAACATCAACCAGATTTTGTGGCCAGCAGGGCCAGGGAGGTGATTGTCCCCCTCTGTGCTGCCCTAGTGAGACCCCATCTGGAGTACCGTGTCAGGACTGGGGCCCCCTGTGCAGGAAGGATGCCAAGCTGTTGGAACGGGTCTAGAGAAGGGCCACGAGGATGATCAGAGGGCGGGAGCACCTCCCCTATGAAGACAGGCTAAGGGAGTTGGGTTTGATCAGCCTGCAGAAAAGAAGGCTCTGGGGAGATCTGATATAGAGTCCTTCCTTAAAGAAAGCTTACATTCAGCAGAAAAATCAATTCTAAACACAGGTAAATAATGATAGGACAAGAAGGAAGAGTTTTAAGCTAAGAAAGGGAAGATATAGATTGGATGTGAGGGGGAATTTTTTCCACTCAGAGAGGTGATGCACTGGCACAGCTGCCCAGAGGAGTTGCGGGTGCCCCATCCTGGAGGCATTCAGGGCCACACTGGATGGGGCCCTGAGCATCCTGAGCTGGTGGCTGGCAACCTGCCCACAGCAGGGGATGGAACCAGGTGATCTTTGAGATCCCTTCCAACACGAGACATTCTAGGATTTTGCCACCTTTGATTTGGCTGCTTCAGACTGAACCTGAAGTAGGGTCTGGCGACCAGGAGACCTCAAAATTTGCTGCACCATGTTTAAGTGTTTGCATTTGCTTTGCCAGCACGGTAAAATTGTTTGAACAGCTCCCTTCCGGATGCCACCATCGACACGACCTGACCACACCAAGGTTACCACACACACATTAACCGATCCAAAACGAACGCGCCGCTTCAGTACAGCAGATTTCCACAGAGCTCTTTACAAAGGCTTTGTCAGCAAAGCCCCCACCAGGCGCACAGCCCTGCCAGCAGCGCCCACCTGAGCGCCTCTGCTCCCGACCCGAGGCACGGGCTGACGGCCGAGCCTCCCCCCTTCACACACAGCCGCCCGGCACCCCGCGGAGCACGGAAGGACTGCGGGACGGAACGAGCCCCGGCCTGAGGCACCGACGGCCCCGCGCGGCGCCGACGGGACGCGCCTCTAACTGGCCTCACCGCCCATCACCACCAGGTGAAGGAGAACGCGGCAAGCTTCCGCCTTCTTTTGCGCAGGTGACAGCACTACACGCAGCCCCACAGGTAGCCGGCTTTTTTCTAGCGGCTCAGTACGCACAGCTCGCCCAGGCTGCAGCCCCTTCCCGACAGCGGCACGCCGGGCACGGGCGAGTTCGGAGCCGCCAGCAGCCGTCCTCCTGCAGCCGCCTTCGACCGCACGACGGGGCCGAGGAGAGCCGTCCCCGGCCGCGCCCCAGCGAGGCCCCGACAGCCGCGGGGCGGCGCGACGCCGCCTCGCCCGCCCGGCAGCCGCCACCTGTTACGCCGCCGCCGCCTCCCGCCCCGCGCAGCCCCCGCTCACCAGGTACTCGGGGTACTCGTACATGTAGGTCATGCTGCACCGGTTCTCCTCGTAAACGAACAGCACGTCCCGCACCCCCAGCAGCACCAGCGCCGCCAGAGCCCCGTACAGCACCGCCGCCACCGCGGGCAGCCGCCGGCCGGCCCGCCCCATGGCGTCCCGCCGCGCCGAGCTGCGAAGCGGCGCGCAGCCCACCTCCCCTCGCGGGCCGTCCGCGCGCAGACACGGCGGGGCGGGGCCGGCACCGCCCGGGAGGCGGAGCGGGCGGCCGCCATCTTGGGAAGGGCGGGCGCTGAGCCGGCGCTTGCTCGCGGGTCCGCCCGCCACGTCGCGGGCCGTGACGGGGAGCTCGGGGCGCGCTGCCGCCGCCTTCTGCTCGGCGCCGCCTGTGGGAGAGCCCCGCCGACCCGGCGCCGCAGGAGCGGGGCCGCTTCCCGTTCTTTGACCGAAGCGCTTGTAACTAACTCACGCTCGCTGTGCGCGGACGCCGCAGCCGCCGGTTTCCATCGCCGCGCCCTCGCAGCGCCGCCCCAGCGCTGTTCCCCCTTTGAATAAACGAACAAAACGCACTCCGCTTTTTCCAACAGTATTTGTACCATTTTTATTTGTAAAAATAACCATCTGAATGCATATCAAGAGTAGTTTACGGGCGGGGTCTCTGGTTACATTAATACAGCATTCAGTAGTTGAAAGAAGTTAACAAACTGTGCTTAGAAGGGCGGGCCGAGGCACCGCATCCCGCCTCGGGGATACGGGACGCTGAGCCGAGGGCTGCCGTTTACAAAAGAAAACGATACCGACAAAACCCCACCGAAACGATGCAACAACATGTCATATCGTTTATTACAAACGTTATGCGAAATATAACACTGGCACCAGATTCGTATCACCGTGGGTTGTAAGGATATATTGCACATGCTAAAGCATAAGATATGAGACAAAACCTACAAAACATGAGATATTGGCTTTAATAGGTAATCACTGCATACAAACGCATAAAGTCACATTTACACACACTCGGATTGTCACTAGTTTCAAACGCCCTTTCCTATAACACTGACCTAAGGTTTACTTTGTGTAATAAGAAAGCCTTTTCAGCACTGCAAAAATTATACGTTATTCCTATAGAAATTTAGCATATTGATTTTCATTTCAATGCAGGTAGAACATACGAAAAGGAGAAACACTTTGTACATTCAAAGGAGGTTTGAAATGAAAATTTACTGGTGATATATTGCTTCTGTAACACTCAAATGAAGAAAAAAAAAAAAAAAGACAACTTCCACAAAACATTTCCATCATACGCAAATATAAAAAGGCACTCTAATATTTCTTACAAGACTAAGAATAAAAATCACAATTTTTTTTTTTTTAAATCATCCTCAAGATACACAACCGAGTTTCTCAACAGTACAATGGATAAACGGTTCATTTTATGTGTTTGTTTAATAATCTCTAATAATCTGGCAGTGGTTTACTGCATAAAAGTACCAAACACATTATGGTGCCCTTTTAGTAGCGATGAGCAGAAATCCCCTGAGCTATTTCACAGCAATTCAGGCAGTCCGGAGGTTGTAACTCATATCTGTGAGAGAGACACGGACCCAATCCCGCCATGGATTCCACCTGCAACTGTGGTTAAAACACAGGATGGGACCATCCTGCTAATAAAGCTGGGCAGGCTGCTGCCCTTCCCAAACACTCACTGTTTGGGGCAGATACAGCAGCAGTCCATGTACTGCAAATTGCAGGATCCGGGGTTAAGTGCAACAAGTATGTGTGATTAACTCTACTCTTGTACGACGTCCACAGAAAGGCAAGGTAATTATTTACAAGAGTAAAATTATTCCCATGCTCAAATACCTGCCCTAAATAACTAATTAACTTCTACAAGCGATAAATTATATTACAGCTTAACGTACTAGCATACATGAAAAGGGATTCCGGCAACTCAGGTGAGATCTGAGACAGGCCAATACTGCGTACATCCAAGGGCCTTGCTCCTGTCACTTGTCCTAAGAACACCATGCTCAGAACACGGCTTTCCCAATGCCCTCAGGATGCCAACAGATCACACTTTTCCATGATTTCTGGAGTATTGCGTACTTACATCATCACTGGGTTACAGAAATGATTTCGCAATTAAGTTTCGATTTGATTCCTAGAAGGTACAAATTAATTCAGTAATCACCTTTGCTTCTGTAACATTGCATCCATCGTAAGCAGCAGATATTGCACTACCTGTTACCAGAGTTAGGAGGTATTGCAAACACACAGAAATATTTTCAGTAACCGTATGGTAGTGAGTAAAAATACTGATTTTTCTTTTCTTTTTGAATGCCTGCTTCAAATAAGACAACATCCTCCTTGAAAAGAGGACTGGTTTTCTCCAAATGAAATGATTTCACATAGGATAACGCATCTCTGCATTTCAGGGTTAGACTGTAAATAATCTCTGTTTAAAGTAAGATGAAGATGCTGCCTATCAGGCAGGTGGCAGCCATTTCCCATTTGTTTGTTCATTTTAAATGCCATCTTTCCACAGAAACAAAAGAAGTAAAATGTGGGATTTCCATTCATTTCTAAGCAGACACCACTGAAAACTAACAACTGTCTCTTATTTTCAGTGCTTGAAGTGAGGTGGTTATTGCTATTTTGCAGCTTTTACAAGCTAAAACTTTGAATAAAGTCAATCATAAAAATGTTGTTCTGTGCTATTTCTGAGGAGGAAACCACAGTTTCATGTGCTCTGTCATTCTACTGCAGAAAAGGCAGGGTTAAGGGAAAACATCATTGCCCTCACAGAGCTGCCCCTCAAGATTTTTTGTTGCAATTCTTGGAAATGAATTATTGTTCAAAAAAAGATTGCTTAATTTTAGCAAGGCAAAATGAACAATATATCATTTTTCTAACTGAAGAACTGAAGTTTGCTGACAGCTTTTAAACAGTTCAGTGGAACACAGCTAAAAACTGCAACTAAACTAGAAATCCCTACTGTTCATTTACCCTGCCAAAACCGTACACTGAAGCAGCTGCTCTTCTCACTCTCCCTGCAAAGACTTAGGCCTGCAGACATTCTGAGCACGGATCACTGGAACTTGAACATCCCACTCTATGCTATATTACCCTTTTCCTCTTTCCCGTGGCTGTACAGTGTTCTCTCACTTGTCTACCAATGTTTTGGATCCCTTTCTTATGTTCTTAAATGACCATGCATTTTACCAATATAGCCTGTGGACTTCATCTTTGTATTCATATGGTAAGATGGGTGCACTTCTCAAGTGCATCACTCCCTTCCTTCCACTCAGGCCATCACTCCTGCCTAGATTCACATTTAATTTTGCATTATGCTGAAAAATATGCACAAATATTACCAAAGAGAAAAAGCTATAGTTATTTTTCCTGGGCATTTGTTTCATTTCAAATAAATATAAACACATTTACATTAAAAGCATATGAACATTTTCCTTAGCCTGGAAAAAAAAAACAACAAAAAAAGAACAAACCTGTGGTCAACACATTGTTAGTTACAAATGTCATCTTGAAACCTGTGTCATAAAATGTAAAATTCACTCAAGACTAGTCATTACCTCAAAAGTTTATATTTTTGTGGTTTAGAAAAGCTACTTCATTATGTCACTCACATTTGAAGAAAAATAAAAGCAATAAAGTCTTCCATTTATTCACTGAAGCATTTTGGTCCTCTTGGTAGAGCTGGTTAGTTTGGATAGGCTTTTGTTTGTTTTGTTTACAAAGTCTCATTCTTCCTTTTGTACATCTGTTGTAGAAGAGGGTCGGGGTCCATTTGACCTAGAAACTTTGGCAGAAGGAGTAAACATATTCACAAAGCTGACATTGCTTTCAAAGCTGGTGACAAAAGGCTCTTAGCGTGCATCTCCAATCCCCTGCCTGGTCCATTTTTGTGTTTTCTCCTGTTTGGTATTTCAAACTTTTGGTGTTACGCTTTCATTGCTTTACCTTTGTTCTGTCAATCCAAACAGTGGCAGAAGTATTTAAAAATCAATACTGTCTACAGCAAAAACAAGTTATTTAAGCATAGGAGAAAAAAAAAAAAATCCCTTAAAGTTGGCAAGACATCACAAACCTTTTCGCACAACTCTGCCTACACCTGATTTTTCATTTCTCTTCTGATACCAGATTCCTGGTTAACAGCTCAGGTGACAGAAACTTCTATTGACCTTAATTCCTTAATTCTGTAGTGCAAATCAACTGTTCATGCTTGTGCTGAACTGGGGGTGTGGGGGAAGGACCAAGCCATTTCCATTTTCCAAAAGTGGTTCCACTAACGTCAGTGGGACATATGTTAAGACAAGTAGAATTTGGCCTTAAGAGTTTATATTTTTCTAATTGTGTGCTGTAACTAATAACTGTAAAAAAGTGCCTTCTGTACGTTTAAGTGCTTAATGCATGCAGAATGTAAAACATTTCTTTTCCTGTAAAAAAGTAATACAGGCAGCTTTAAGATTTACAACTTTACCTTTGGTTTGTGTGAAAAAAATACCTAATTATTAGAGCCCCTGGAACTAAGAAAACAGACAAATAGAGAAAAGGGATGATGCTATGAAGGCTACGTTGGAAACACATCTGTGCACTAATAGTACAGCTAAATCATTTAAGTACATTTTACAAACAATTCCCTGTTTAATTGTGCTGTCAAAAGGAAAAAAAAAGGCATTTTCTTTCTCTCTCTTTTTTTTTTTCTTCCTTTTTTTTTTTCCTTTTTTTTTTAATACTTGAAGTTAGAGGTAGAGACTTTCCACAGGGGCACTTAGGGCCTAAAGAAAACACGAGGAAGACAAAAAGCCACAGAACAGTAATGGGAATACGTTCCAGTAAATGCCCCCAACTTGGTTATTTAAAGGCTTAATTCTCATCAGCACTACAAATCTCAACACCTACTTGTCAAGAGTCATAGTTAAGAATATCGCAGTGGGATTTAAGCTGTCTTAAAAGAAAAAAAAAAAAAAAAAAAAGCCAAACTGAAAGGAAATAATAATGAAATAAATTTTTTTGAATACGAATAAGTCAAAATGTTTCAGAATCAGAATCATTTTCGTTGTACCCATCCTCTGTTCCTAGGTTATTACTCAAGGGCTTATTGTAAGAGTTAATGCTACCCATAGCGGAGCCATCGCAGAGATGTGTCCTGC